ACCTGAGCACTTTGTAATCTTTAGTGTGTTTATTTTTTTTAATTTAAGGATGTGAAACTATTTCTCTGTTTTTACATGCCAGAACTTAATCACAGTAAATAAAAATGGCACCTTGGGTTTTAAACAGGGAGGCAAATTAACCACAGAGATGGCTTGCCAAGGGATGGGGCAGATTCTCCCGCACGTATGCTCGAAAAGGGTCTTTCTAGATCGCTTTCTAAAACGCGCCCTGTAGCCCGATCAGAGGTTACGGGCTCGATGCAGGAATCCTTAGGTTAAATTCCCTTGCCCGTGTTCCACAAGAGGTCAGACTCGGGTTCTTGTGAAAACTGTCCCCTTCAGCTTTTGAAAATCTCACCTTCTGACAGTCACAACTGCCCCTTCCGGCCTTAAAAAAAAAATCTCTCTCTTGCAACACCTGAAATCAGCGGAAGGCCGGCCCAGCTGTCTAAGCTCTCGCCCCTCGTAGAAGAAATACAAAAACCCGAATTCTGCTTGGAATTTACTTTCAAAAGCTCCGTGTCTTCCAGACACTGCATCTACCCCAGACGGAGCTTTTCAGCTCACTGCACACATTCCCACCCCTCGCCTGTCTCCACGGCCGCGAGGGGCATACCTTTCAAACATTTGCTGTTTTTCAGCTTTGCTCCCGGCCTGTCTGCATCTTACTCCAATTAAACACCATGTTTTGCAATTGCTGCTCCGAGGGAGGGCGGAGAAATAACCCCCCACCCCACCAAAAAAAGTCACAAAATAGTTTTGGGCCACTCTAAATCCCATCCAGAAAGTAGGAGCCAACCTTCAAACCAAGAAGACAGATGCTTTGCAACAAGAACAGGAACCCCCCCACACACATCATGTAAGCCTGTCTGGGTTAGAGGCAGCCTTCTTCTCGGAGAAAGCAGACACACCAAAAAGCACCTCTGTTATCCTGTGGCACCTTAGAGACTAACCAATTTATTTGAGCATGAGCTTTCGTGAGCTACAGCTCACTTCATCAGTGAGCTGTAGCTCACGAAAGCTCATGCTCAAATAAATTGGTTGGTCTCTAAGGTGCCACAAGTACTCCTTTTCTTTTTGCGAATACAGACTAACACGGCTGTTCCTCTGAAATCTGTTATCCTGCTAGTTTAAATCCCCCTAGTCCTGCCCTGAGGGCAGGGGATGGGTCTAGATGACCTCTCAAGGTCCCTTCCAGTCCTATGATTCTGGGGAGCAACCCTGAAAAGACAAACGTATCCGCAAATCCACCTCCTCCAGAAGCCAACAAAAAACTTGACCATGTGCGCGGAGACCCTGGCCCATCATGGTGTCCCGCTGCTTCCTTGTACACCCCTTTGATTGGGACCTCCATGGCGCAGGGCCTGTCTTTTTATGCTGCGTTTGTACTATATGGGATGCGGGTCCAGGACTGGGGTGACCCAGCACAACGGTAACACGCTAGAGACAGGGAACGGGATTCACACCACGGACCATGGGCCGGCCCACCGTCTCACTGTAACAACACGGCTTAAAGCGACTTTTACTCCCGCAGAGACAACAAAAACTGAGTACACACAGGGACCGTCACCCATCAGAGATTTAGGAAGTTTTGGGATCTCCTCCTGCCTTTAATCCTTTCTCCGCAGCCAAACGGCCTCAGACGAGAGCCTCAACAACTCCAAAGCTTAATTACGACTCTAAGTGCCAACACTGTTAATTATAAATGGCTGCTCAGAGTCTTGGCAGAAAGGGCCGTCTGAAAATGAAGCATCTAGCCGTTTTGGAGATATTTGGAGGAGGGAAGAAATCCACCAGCTTTCCCGGCAAAGCAGGGGAAATCAGAGTTTTGCAAAACCCAAGCAGAGAGGTCGGGGTGCTGGCACGGAGCAGAATTCATGCCACCGAAAGCAGACGGGCTGAGAACCGTTATGAAAAGCCCCGTCTCACCAGGCAAGGAGGGGTCTCCAAAAAGACAACAGCTGATCGGAAGACTGTGCTCCTCGGAAGGAGTTTTGGTTTGGTACACAGGGCGGGCAGGCATGTGCAGGGGGGTGGGGGCACCCACACATTTTGAAAGGCAGCCAGAAAAAAATCCTCTCTCTTCTTTAGGAGAGTCACAAGTTAGCACTTAACTTCTGCAAGGGAGCCCAGCGAAAGCGTATTGTCTGACTTCTGCAAAATCCAATCCCTGTTTACGTCTTCTTGATGATTCTTTTACCCCTAAACAAATCCCTCGGGCCGCCTGTTTAGCAAAATGCTCTTATGCTTACAAGCGCAAGCCATCTGAGCCCTGCTCCCGTGAACCAGTTGCCGATCACGCCCACAGCGAGCGAGCATCCCACCAGGCTTGTAACGGCAAATGATGGTCATGGAGGGCGCAAAGCACTGGGATTCAAGAGATCTGGGTTCGAATTCCCGGCTCCACCCACCCCGCAACTCCCCATCTGACCGTGGGCAAATCACGTCAGCACTGTAGTGCCTTGGTTTCCCTACACGTAGCTCGGTGTTAACGAGACTTCCTTTTTCTGGACTGTCTGTTCACACAGATTTTGTACCAGGATAGCTAGGCCAGAGCGATACAGTCAGGTAGGCCCGACCACAGGTGTGTGGCTTACACCTTTCCCTGCTAGATTGGAGAAGCCCTAACAAGACCAGTGGCCGGAACCAAAGCTAGACAGATTCGAACTGAGGAAAAAAAAAGATACAATTTTTTTTGAAAACAGCGAGACTAATCTCCCTCACGGACGCTTTTTCAATCAAAATGGGATGTTTTTCCTACACACCTGCCAGGAATTAATTCAGCGTGGTTCTCTGCCCTTGTGTTATAGAAGGAGGTCAGACGAGATGAGCACACCTGTACCTTTGGATCTATGAATGCAGAGGGTCTTGGAAAATTTCCCCCTGAAACATTAACGGGACATGTCGCAAACCGCTCCGAAGACAACCATGCTAAGTACTGTGTCTCATTACGGATTTGTGAAATAAAAATAAAACTATCAAGGAGTTTCATTCTAAATCCTATTCTGTACTAATCTGATTTGATAAAATACAGACACGCTGGAAAGAAGGATGGTCACTTCACAAGTTTGAGGATCATTAGGCTTCCCACAGCAAATCTGAACTCTTGCTCAAACAACCACAGACTGTTCGTACCATCCTAGAAGTTTTCTGGCAAAGCAGGAGTTATCTGAACAGCTGTTACAGCCTCAACGCCAGTCACGAGAGGAGGATCAGACATGCTCAGAGTAAACCAGACAAGAATGCCTGACGAAAAGGAGAGGCGATAAGATACAGGGAAAACAGCAGAGCGCAGATAACCACCGGCGCCCAACCCCTTGCTTAAAGCCACAAATCAAAGTCAACACGAAACCACTTTGAAAAGAGAAACAGAGAGAACCGGTTTCAAAGTTATATTAACTCACCGACTGACTTAGAAACAAACCAAGCATCGAACCTGAGAGTGTGTTCTGGTAAGCAAAGATCCTTTCCTTTCCACCCTGACAAAGAGAAATTCACATCTCTGAGGGCGGAACAAAAATGACAAAGCCCACCCCGGAGAGCTTCCTGAGAAACTGGAAAGTGACCCAGAGAATTCCTAGACAGAAAGCGATTAAGTAATGCATTTTTTCTCCTCCTCTCACCTCTGCACTAGCTGGCGTTCAGAACTAAGGCACAATTTCCAAAAGACCAGGATCCATTCTTAGGGATAAGGGTCAATGCTTAAATTCCTGGCTGTCACAGATTCCTTGAGTGACACAACCTCTACAAGCCTCAGTTCCTGCATCTGTAAAACGGGCGTAACTGGCATGCCTCACCCCATACTTAGGTGCACAGCACAAATGAAAACAGCATCCCCAAACTCAGCGAAGGCCAAAAGCATGCTTATGGCACGTGCTCGTTTCAACACCCATCCCCACCACGCATGCCGACGCTGGGCATGTAAATAAGAGATCAGTGTCCGGCAGCTACGCAGCCCGGCGTGTGATCAGAAGCGTCTGGAAGAAGGGGGAGGCATGTTCTTAAACGGGACCACAGCCGCGTGCGTTGGCAGTCGAAGGCTGATGAAGTTAATCCAGAAGGCGAGTATGCAAAGTGCAGCAGAAGCTAATGAAACTATCATCAATAAGTAATTATCTGTGATAACACCCACCACGTTTTAGGCACCTCAAGCAAACCCTGCCCTGAGACACAAAGGTTGGAACAACACGCACAAAGTAGCACGCTCTGGGTTTTTAAAGGGGATGTCAACAGAGCGGAAATCAGCCCCTTTGACCTGTAAAATCCAAGCCCGGCGGGTATAAGATTTCCCACCTGTGGCATCCTCATTCTTCCACGCTGCCTGCGACGATGGCCTAAACTGCCAGCAGCGACGATGGATTCTGGGTGCATCGGTTTTCTCAGACACTTGCCAAGCAATCCAATTTTCAGAGGCCGGGCACAAAGTATTTTCTGAAAAAAATCACGTCCCTGGACGGCGGCGTCTCAAGTCAGGCATTCAAAAAAAAAACAACAAAAAACAAAAAAAAAAAAACCCTGTTTTTTTTTTTAAATTGCTAAAGCGCTTTTGTAAATTTAAGCTGATGAGAAGTCGTAAGTCGCCCCCACTTTTTAACCAGCAGCTGGTGCGACGTTTCACAGAGTTTTAAGGCCAGGAGGGGGCAATTAGTCCTTCCCGCGTCATCCTAGCCACTTCTGCTTGAGTGAAGGCAGATCTTTTTGGAGAAAGGGGGACTACCTCGTCTTGATGAAAAGACTCCAAGCGGCCCTCCGTGTCCCCATGGTTAATTACCCTCCCTATTAAAATTACGTGCCCGGTTTCTAACCTGAATTCGCCTAGCTTCCATTTGGATCTGTTCTACCTTTCTCTACACATGGGGTCCGAGGACCCATGGGGGCCCACAGACAATACAAAAAATGCCCAAAGGGGGCCACATCTCCATTTGAAATTTCACCGGGGGGGGGGGGGAGCCGCAAATGAAGAAAAAAAAAAAAAAAGATTGAAAACGACTGTTTTATACCATCAGAGAGTCGCGTGAACTCAATTTATCTCCCCATCACGTAGGTATAAGCAACCGGGGCAATGTCTTCAGAGGACGCACTTCCGTCTTTGTGAATCCAGAGGGCAAAGAGAAAAAACAACAACCCCAACTCACTTCACACTTCTAAAAATAATCGGTGACCACACAGCTGTGTGCTCCCAAAACCCTCCTCTCCGTAAATCCGCAACATCAAGCCCCCCACTCCCCCTCCAAAAAGCGTCCACACGGTTCCCAGAATCTGGGATACCCAGAATCACAGGAGAGGCACCTTTGTAACCTGGATCCTTTCCGGATCCATGGCACCTGTACAGCCCAGCATCCACCCACCCCTCGCAGATCCGAGTGGAGGACTCCCCAAAGTTACTGCCCTTAACAAGCTGAACTTCTTCCCACACCCACTGCCAACTTTCTCGAACCCGATGTGACTCCGGAACACCATGTGACCAACCCATGATCCGGCCCAACTCTCTCCCCTCGGCCTTCAAACACACAGCCCTCCTCCTTAGCATGCCTCCATCTGCCCCCTTCCCATTCAAATACCTCCCAGTCCCCCCCAAATCCATCCAGTCCCCCAAACCTCTGACCCCCCATTCCCCTCAACTCCATCCAATCCCTCAAACCTCTCTGACCCCTGTTACCTGCCTTCCTGTGCCCTCCTTTCCCTAGACACCCCTCACAGAGTATTGCTCAGCAAGGGGGGGTCCCCTCTCCCCTATGCATTGCCCCCCATCCCATGCATTGCTCAGTAAGGGGGGTCCCCTCTCCCCTATTCATTGCCCCCCATCCCATGCATTCCTCAGCAAGGAGGGTCCCTTCTCCCCTATGCATTGCCCCCCCATCCCATGCATTGCTCAGTAAGGGGGGTCCCCTCTCCCCTATTCATTGCCCCCCATCCCATGCATTCCTCAGCAAGGAGGGTCCCTTCTCCCCTATGCATTGCCCCCCCATCCCATGCATTCCTCAACAAGGGGTCTCCTCCTCCCCCCCCATGCACTGCTCAACAAAGGGGGACCCCACTCCTCCCATGTATTACCCAGCAAAGGGGGGGATCCCCTCCAGGCATTGCCCCTCCCCCAACCACTTACCTGTCCTTCCAGTGGCCCCTCCGCACCATCCCTAGGGCCTGGCTGAAACTGGGGTGTAAGGGGGGGGGCAGGAAATTGAGTTGCAAACCTGACCCCCCCCCCTTTTTTTTTTTTTTTTTTTTTTTTTTTTTTTGCTTCTAGGGCTGTTGCATCCCGGCCGGGCCCCGTGCAATCCTGGGAAGGGCGGGAGGGGGGTGTTGCAAAGATAGGAGGGGGGCTCCCCCAGATTTGCACCGGGGCGCGGACGGAGGAGGAGGAGCGGGGCGGGGGGGGAGAAGCAGCAGCGGCCGGCGGCGCCCGCCGGGCTGGGCGGCAAAGGGAAGCCGGGGTGGGGGGGGGCGGGAATGTCGCGAGACGGGAAAGGCGCCTGGCCCCTCCCTGGGAGCTGGGCGGGGCCTTAAAGGGGCAAGGCGGGGGGGCCCTAGGTAGCTCCCGGGGGAGGGGGTTTTGGGGTGCAATGCTGGGGGGAACTTGGGGGGCTTTACAATGCGTGGGGGCTTTGCAATACCTGGGGGGGACTTGGGGGTCTTTGCAATGCCTGGGGGTGGCTTTGCAATGCCTGGGGGGAACCTGGGGGGCTTTATAATACGTGGGGGGCTTTGCAATGCCTGGGGGTGAACTTGGGGATCTTTGCAATACCTGGGGGCTTTACAATGCGTTGGGGCTTTGCAATGCCTGGGGGGGGACTTGGGGGTCTTTGCAATGCCTGGGGGTGGCTTTGCAATGCCTGGGGGGAACCTGGGGGGCTTTGCAATGCCTGGGGGTGAACTTGGGGATCTTTGCAATACCTGGGGGGCTTTACAATGCGTTGGGGCTTTGCAATGCCTGGGGGTGAACTTGGGGGTCTTTGCAATGCCTGGGGGTGGCTTTGCAATGCCTGGGGGGAACCTGGGGGGCTTTGCAATGCGTGGGGGCTTTGCAATACCTGGGGGGACTTGGGGGTCTTTGCAATGCCTGGGGGTGGCTTTGCAATGCCTGGGGGGAACCTGGGGGCTTTATAATACGTGGGGGGCTTTGCAATGCCTGGGGGTGAACTTGGGGGTCTTTGCAATGCCTGGGGGGCTTTACAATGTGTGGGGGGCTTTGCAATGCCTGGGGTGAACCTGGGGGTTTTTGCAATACCTGGGGGGCTTTACAGTGCGTGGGAGGCTTTGCAATGCCTGGGGGTGAACTCGGGGGGCTTTGCAATGCATGGGGGACTTTGCAATGCCTGGGGGGGGAACCTGGGGTGTGGTGCAATGTTGGGGGGCTGGGTTCAATGCCTGGGGACTGGGTGGGGGGAGGGAGGGACCCTTGCTGAGCAATGCTTGGGGAGAAATCCCTGCAGAGCAGTTGCTGAGTGATGTAGCGGGAGAGCTGTTAGGGGGACCCCCCTGGGGAGAGCTGTTAGGGGGACCCCCCTGGGGAGAACTGGGCTGCTCAGCTGTAGGCTGTCAGGCAGGGCGCCCCACTGGGCAATGCATTGGGGTGGGGGCCTGCTGTTAACATCCCTGTCCACCCTGTTTCCAGTTCAAAGTGACCCAGCAAACCTTCTGCAAATCTGTACATGCCATGACATACCAGCCATGGGGTCACTTCCCCCCGGGATCGCCCCAGGACTGCCGCGCACGGGGGGCGTGTATGGAAAAATCCCCACCACCACCACCACCACCACCACTGAGTGTGACAGACACGGCCGTGGCTGCGGAGAGTCCGAGTCCCTGGCTCGGACAAGGAGGGAAGCTGACCCAGGCTGCCTGAGTCAGCCGAGAGCCTGAACCGCTTGCTTGGAAAGCAGGGGGGGCTGCCCCGTTCCTTGCAACGCTGCTTTAGCGGCTCACCCGAGCCTGGCGGAAAGGAGAGGGAAGCAGCATATTATGGTGAGATCTGCCCCAGTATTAAGTGTGGGGGGCACGTACCCCAAAGAACTAAGTGGGTTGCGGGGGGAAGCCTTTAACAATGAAGGTATCCCAGCTACCGAGCAACCCTCTTCTCTCCCTGCCGCAAGCAACGCTTTGTGCCTCTGGGAGAAATGAGTAAGAAAATCTGTTTGGAGAGGAAGCCGCCTCTTTAGGAGGTTTATGGCTTTTTCCGTGATTCGCATTTTTACCCCCACCCTGCTCCCATCATACTGACCTAGATTTAAAAAAAACATTTTTATGGGGGACAGACCAAAAGCTTTGATCTTCCCACGTTGCTTGTTTCCCTTTCATCCTGGACGACGCCAGCCGCTCTGGGCCGGCCGAAAACGTTCCTGGCAGGGAAAAATACGAGGGAACTCAGGAAAGGATGGCCAAGGGCTCGCGCGAGATAAGGTGTGGGCTGTTGTGTTCGAGAAAACTCTGGCGTTTCCCTAGTGCGCGGGGAAACAGGGAAAACCAGGGCCTGTACCTCGGCGGTGTGTACTTTTGCTTGACTGCAGGTGGCTAGAAGGGGTCAGGATTCACCCACTGTCTTAGTCCCAGTCTCCGCACTCACCGGTTGTCTCTTGTCGGGTTTGTTATTTGCATTGCCATGAGGCCTGCGTGCCCCGCCGGCCGAGATCCCTGCACGGACACAGACCAAGGGATGGCGGCTGGCCCCGAAAAGCTTCCAGTCTGGGTCTAAAACAAGAAACAAGAGCTGGGGGAAGAGAAGCAAAGAACGGAGCAGGGCTGGTCAGCATGTCGAGGGGAGAGTTTACATTACCGGCTCTAAAATCGCCCCGCTAACCAAGGCAGCTGTCCCAGTAAAACGCAGGCATGGTCTATACTCGCGGTACCCCGGGGGCACGCAGAGGCCCTCCAGGGGCTCCATCAGCTCCTCTAGATACTTGCCTACCTACCAGGTGAGATAAAAACCAGTCGCAAAGTCAGCAAACTAAACGTCCATGCAGCCCAGATGAGGACCTCAGCAACTCTCCAGTCGCAGCGGGGCTGGGCCGCGTCTGACTTTCCGTGTCTGATTTTGTAAGCGCGTCGTTTTGACGGAGGGTGGAACGGAGGTGCAGGGACTCGACCAAGGCTGGACGGGGACTCGGTGGTGGAGATGGGAACCCAGCCTGGCCTGCCTGAGCCGCAGGCCTCTGCTTCCTAAAACCGTAAGAGCGGCTTTGGCCTCTGCCTGCCGTAGCCAGAGGTTAGGAGGTGTGGCTGCAGGTTTGAAACTCAGGACTCCTGGGTTCTCTCCCTGGCTCTGGGAGGGGAGGGGGGCTGGGGGGTGAGAGCAGGGGGGGCTGGGAGCCAGGATGCCTGGGTTCTCCCCCTGGCTCTGGGAGGAGAGGGGGGCTGGGGGGTTAGAGTAGGGGGGGCTGGGAGCCAGGACTCCTGGGTTCTCTCCCCAGCTCTGGGAGGGGAGTAGGGGCTGGGGGGTTAGAGCAGGGGGGGCTGGGAGCCGGGACTCCTGGGTTCTCTCCCCGGCTCTGGGAGCGGAGTAGGGGCTGGGGGGTTAGAGCAGGGGGGGCTGGGAGCCGGGACTCCTGGGTTCTCTCCCCGGCTCTGGGAGCGGAGTAGGGGCTGGGGGTTAGAGCCAGGGGAGGAACCAGCCTACTCGGGGTCCGTGAGCGGACACGCCGGCTGCTTTTCACGGTTTTCACGTGCGAGACGGGCACGGGCGGGGACCCCGCAACCCCCGGCCCACCACCGCTCCCGCCGAGGGGCAGGCTGGGCCAGCCCGATTTGTGGGCGCCGCGGCGGGCTGGCGGGGCGGATCTGAGCCCATCCGCCGGGCGTCCTTAGGGGGGTGATGTGCGGCCAGGGGGACGCCGGTCGATGTTAGAGATCATGGGGGGCCCCGGAGCCAGGAGCTGAGGGGTTTCTATGCCCCCGGTCCCGTCCGAGTGCCGGGCAGGCTGGGGGTTTGACCCGCCGGGCTCGAAGGAGCAGCTGCCCGCCTTTCTCCAGCCCCCCAACGGCTTTTCCCACCTTTCTCCAGCCCCCCAACGGTTTCTCCAGCCCCCCCAATGGTTTTCCCGCCTTTTCCAGCCCCCCAACGGTTTCTCCAGCCCCCCAACGGCTTTTCCCGCCTTTCTCCAGCCCCCCCAACGGTTTCTCCAGCCCCCCAACGGCTTTTCCCGCCTTTCTCCAGACCCCCAACAGTTTCTCCAGCCTCCCCAATGGTTTTCCCGCCTTTTCCAGCCCCCCCAACGGTTTCTCCAGCCCCCCCAATGGTTTTCCCGCCTTTTTCCAGCCCCCCCAACGGTTTCTCCAGCCCCCCAACGGCTTTTCCCGCCTTTCTCCAGCCCCCCAACGGTTTCTCCAGCCCCCCCAATGGTTTTCCCGCCTTTTTCCAGCCCCCCAACGGTTTCTCCAGCCCCCCAACGGCTTTTCCCGCCTTTCTCCAGCCCCCCAACGGTTTCTCCAGCCCCCCCAATGGTTTTCCCGCCTTTTTCCAGCCCCCCAACGGTTTCTCCAGCCCCCCCAATGGTTTTCCCGCCTTTCTCCAGCCCCCCAACGGTTTCTCCAGCCCCCCAACGGCTTTTCCCGCCTTTCTCCAGCCCCCCAACGGTTTCTCCAGCCGCCCCAATGGTTTTCCCGCCTTTTTCCAGCCCCCCCAACGGTTTCTCCAGCCCCCCAACGGCTTTTCCCGCCTTTCTCCAGCCCCCCCAACGGTTTCTCCAGCCCCCCAACGGCTTTTCCCGCCTTTCTCCAGACCCCCAACAGTTTCTCCAGCCTCCCCAATGGTTTTCCCGCCTTTTTCCAGCCCCCCCAACGGTTTCTCCAGCCCCCCCCAATGGTTTTCCCGCCTTTTCCAGCCCCCCCAACGGTTTCTCCAGCCCCCCAACGGCTTTTCCCGCCTTTCTCCAGCCCCCCAACGGTTTCTCCAGCCGCCCCAATGGTTTTCCCGCCTTTTTCCAGCCCCCCAACGGTTTCTCCAGCCCCCCAACGGCTTTTCCCGCCTTTTTCCAGCCCTCAGGCTTGGGCTGTCTGAGGTGAGGGGAAGCCGCCCCGGTGCGAGCGTCCCCCCCCCCCCACGCCCTGTCCCCACGGCCGTGTGAGGGGTGGGGAAAAGGGGGCAGTACCCCCCCCGCCATCTCCCCATGGCCATGCGAGGGGGTGGGGAAAAGGGGGCAGTACCCCTCCCGCCATCTCCCCATGGCCATGCGAGGGGGTGGGGAAAAGGGGGCAGTACCCTCCCCCGCCATGTCCCCATGGCCGTGCGAGGGGGTAGGGGAAAGGGGCAGTATCCCCCCCGCCATCTCCCCATGGCCATGCGAGGGGGTGGGGAAAAGGGGGCAGTACCCTCCCCCCGCCATCTCCCCATGGCCATGCGAGGGGGTGGGGAAAAGGGGGCAGTACCCTCCCCCGCCATCTCCCCATGGCCATGCGAGGGGGTGGGGAAAAGGGGGCAGTACCCCCCCCGCCATGTCCCCATGGCCATGCGAGGGGGTGGGGGAAAGGGGGCAGTATCCCCCCCCCGCCATGTCCCCATGGCCATGCGAGGGGGTGGGGAAAGGGGGCAGTACCCCCCCCGCCATCTCCCCATGGCCATGCGAGGGGGTGGGGAAAAGGGGGCAGTACCCTCCCCCGCCATCTCCCCATGGCCATGCGAGGGGGTGGGGAAAAGGGGGCAGTACCCCCGCGCCATCTCCCCATGGCCATGCGAGGGGGTGGGGGAAAGGGGGCAGTACCCTCCCCCGCCATGTCCCCATGGCCATGCGAGGGGGTGGGGAAAAGGGGGCAGTACCCCCCCATGCCCTGTCCCCACGGCCGTGCGAGGGGAAAGGGGGCAGTACCCCCCCGCCATGTCCCCATGGCCATGCGAGGGGGTGGGGAAAAGGGGGCAGTACCCCCCCCCGCCATGTCCCCATGGCCATGCGAGGGGGTGGGGGAAAGGGGGCAGTACCCTCCCCCGCCATGTCCCCATGGCCATGCGAGGGGGTGGGGAAAAGGGGGCAGTACCCTCCCCCGCCATGTCCCCATGGCCGTGCGAGGGGGTGGGGGAAAGGGGCAGTACCCTCCCCCCGCCATGTCCCCATGGCCGTGCGAGGGGGTGGGGGAAAGGGGGCAGTACCCCTCCCGCCATCTCCCCATGGCCATGCGAGGGGGTGGGGAAAAGGGGGCAGTACCCTCCCCCGCCATGTCCCCATGGCCATGCGAGGGGGTGGGGAAAAGGGGGCAGTACCCTCCCCCCGCCATCTCCCCATGGCCATGCGAGGGGGTGGGGAAAAGGGGGCAGTACCCTCCCCCCCCCATCTCCCCATGGCCATGCGAGGGGGTGGGGAAAATGGGGCAGTACCCCTCCCGCCATGTCCCCATGGCCATGCGAGGGGGTGGGGGAAAGGGGGCAGTACCCCCTCCCGCCATCTCCCCATGGCCGTGCGAGGGGGTGGGGGAAAGGGGGCAGTACCCTCCCCCCGCCATGTCCCCATGGCCATGCGAGGGGTGGGGAAAGGGGGCAGTACCCCCCCCATGCCCTGTCCCCACGGCCGTGCGAGGGAAAGGGGGCACCCCCCACCATGTCCCCATGGCCATGCGAGGGGGTGGGGAAAGGGGGCAGTACCCCCCCCCGCCATGTCCCCATGGCCATGCGAGGGGGTGGGGGAAAGGGGGCAGTACCCTCCCCCGCCATGTCCCCATGGCCATGCGAGGGGGTGGGGAAAAGGGGGCAGTACCCTCCCCCGCCATGTCCCCATGGCCGTGCGAGGGGGTAGGGGAAAGGGGGCAGTATCCCCCCCCGCCATGTCCCCATGGCCATGCGAGGGGGTGGGGAAAAGGGGGCAGTACCCTCCCCCGCCATGTCCCCATGGCCATGCGAGGGGGTGGGGGAAAGGGGGCAGTACCCTCCCCCGCACCCTCTCCCCATGGCCGTGCGAGGGGGAAAGGGGGTTGCGCCCCCCAATAACAACCCAGAGCCCTCTCGCCCACCCTCCTTCTGCTCCACATGCCGGGTCCCCCAATATGGGGAGGGACTCACAGGAGTGACCCCCGCACCGGTGCCCCAAAGTGTCACGCAGGGGGGAATCATCTGGGGGAGATGAGGGAGGCGATATTAATGGGGCGAGGGGTTACCATGGAAGGGGAAGTAATGGGGTGAGGGGTTACCATGGAGGGGGTGTTATGGGGTGAGGGTACCATGGAGGGGGTGTTAATGGGGCGAGGGGTTACCATGGAAGGGGAAGTAATGGGGTGAGGGGTTACTATGGAGGGGGTGTTATGGGGTGAGGGTACCATGGAGGGGGTGTTAATGGGGCGAGGGGTTACCATGGAAGGGGAAGTAATGGGGTGAGGGGTTACTATGGAGGGGGTGTTATGGGGTGAGGGTACCAAGGAGGGGGTGTTAATGGGGCGAGGGGTTACCATGGAAGGAGAAGTAATGGGGTGAGGGGTTACTATGGAGGGGGTGTTATGGGGTGAGGGTACCAAGGAGGGGGTGTTAATGGGGCGAGGGGTTACCATGGAAGGGGAAGTAATGGGGTGAGGGGTTACTATGGAGGGGGTGTTATGGGGTGAGGGTACCATGGAGGGGGTGTTATTGGGGCGAGGGGTTACCATGGAAGGGGAAGTAATGGGGTGAGGGGTTACTATGGAGGGGGTGTTAATGGGGCGAGGGTTACCATGGAAGGGTTATTAAGGGGGTGAAGGTACCATGGAGGAAGAGACATAAAGGGAGCTGGGTGGGGAGAGGAGCCGGGGACGGTCTATGGGGTGGCCCATGGCGGGCAGTGGGTATTCTTTCAGGGGTATATGATAGGCAGGAACACAGACGGGTGAATTATCGGGGTGCCCGTACACGCAGCTGTGATAACCACAAGGGAAGGGTCGGTACGGAGGCACGGCAGGGTGGTACCTGGAGAGCGTGGCCTGCCCTGAGTTACATGTGACCCCATGTTATTGGTTTGCACCCTGCAGGATTAAGGGGCACCCCCCCCCCCCGCAGCACAGTAGCAGAGGGGAGCTCACGACTGGGGAGATCAAGGAAAACCTTGGGGACCATCACAGCAGCAGCCAGGCATGGAGGAGGACACCTGCACGTCCTTTGTCCCATTTGCTAAGTATGTTAATTAATTACTACAAAACAGGTTAAATTCAGAGGGAGTCGTTTGTATAAGGATCCTTTCCGATGGGGTAACCTGCGTTTTTAAGTGAGTTTTGTGTGTTTGCTCTCAGAGTCATGGGATAGATAGGTGGATAGATAGATACATAGAGTGGGTGGATGGGAATAGATAGATAGATAGATAGAGGGGGTGGATGGGGATGGATAGAGAGAAAGATAGGGGGGTGGATGGGGATGGATAGAGAGATAGATAGAGGGGGTGGATGGGGATAGGTAGATGGATGGGGTGGATGGGGATGGATAGAGAGATAGGTAGATGGATGGGGTAGATAAAAGGGGTGGATGGGGATGGCTGATAGATAATGTATGGGATGAATGGATAGCTATAGAGATGGAGAGAGAGAGAAATGTATGGAGAGAAGGAATGGATCGATGGATCAATCAATAGATGTTTTTGGGGATGGGCGGATCGATTGGTAGATGTGTATGGGGACTGATGGATCCATCTGTCTGTCTGTCTCCCCCTCTCTTTCTATCTGTGTCCAGCAGGTCTGTCTATCTAGACAATGTGTCTGTCTAGTATCTGGGCAGCTGAAGAGGAAGTATTTAAAAAAAAAAAAGTTGTTCTAATTTTCACTGGGAAATATTTCCACCAGGTGGCAGAGATGAGTTGAGTCAGGAAAAAAGTTTTGTTTTTGACTGTACGGTGTATTGAAATGCCGTGAAGTCAGCACTAAGAAATCGACCCCTTTCAGCATCACGAATTCCCAGGATTTTACCATGAGTCTCACAATATTTGATATTTTTCTTAAAGCCCCAGTTCCTGGAGTCATGTTATAACATACAAAGCTCAGCTTTTTTTTTTTTAACGATTTTAAGAGAGCTCAATTTCAGGCCCTCGCAGTTGCAGAAAACAGCTGGAAAACGTGAGACCTAAAGGCTCAAAAAAACCCAGGTATCAGCTCAGTCCTAACACTTATTAACAGACTTTTAAAATCTCTGGATTTTTAAGCCAATGTCATAATTTTGGGGGGGCCTGACTCCTGACTTTAATTAACACCTTGGGTTAGTGCATCCAGGCACTTTTAAAATGATCTCCATGTAGCTTCCAGTGTAGAGATTCATTCAACCTTTTGGCTAGACCCATAACTTTTCTAAGCACCGGATGTTTGCTGGTCTATAGCTTAGTTGCGAAAGACAGAGCGTATTGTTCTTTGCTGCGGTAGGTAAAAGCATGCAAAGTCTCCGATGGCTTGCTTCTAACTAGATGGGGAAGCGTTAATGCCACGGTACAAGGCACTGGTAAGACCCCCATCAGGAATACTGTGTACAGTGCTGGTCACCCATGTTCAAGAAAGATGAACTCAGACTTGAATAGGTGCGGAGAAGGGTGATCATAGGAATACAGGACTGGAAGTAAGGTGACCAGATGTCCTGATTTGGCTCGCCATTCCCCGGAAGGGATGTAAACTCTTCTCTGAGCTAAAACAGAGGTCCCTCCACCTCTGTGAGAACATTGCATATTAAGCCAGGGTTTGGTTAGCAAGAAATGACGCGGAAGCAGGCTGAGATGCCGGTGTTGCACACAGAAGGTCACTTCAGAGATGGGGGTTTTCAAATCTCATTTCCCTCCCTATGTTTCATTAACAACAACAAAAAACCTTTTGTAAATGTGCTGAATATAAGAGCGGCCAGACTGGGTCAGACCAAAGGTCCATCTAGACCAGTGTCCTGTCTTCTGACAGTGGCCAATGCCAGGGGCCCCAGAGGGAAGGAACAGAACAGGGAATCATCAAGTGATCCATCCTCCGTTGACCATTCCCAGCTTCTGGCAAACAGAGGCTAGGGACACCATCCCTGCCCATCCTGGCTAATAGCCACTGATGGACCTGTCCTCCCTGAACTTATCTAGTTCTTCTTTGAACCCTGTTATAGTTTTGGCCTTCACCACATCTTCTGGCAAGGAGTTCCACCGGTTGACTGCGTGTTGTGTGAAGAAATGTTTGTTTTAAACTGTTTGTTTTAAACCTGTGGCCTATTAATTTCATTGGGTGATCCCTAGTTCTTGTGTTATGAGAAGAAGTCAATAACGCTTCCTTATTTACTTTCTCCACACCCGTCATGATTTTATAGGCCTCTCTCATATCTCCCCTTAGCCATCTCTTTTCCAAGCTGAAAAGTCCCGGTCATATTAATCTCTCCTCATACGGAAGCCGTTCCAAGCCCCTACTCAGTTCTGTTGCCCTTTTCTGAACCTTTTCCAAGTCCAGTATAAATTACTGAGCCACCAGTTTTATAGGAGGCTCCAGAGTTTGCATGTTAGGCGCTTAGACCCAGCTTGTCTTACTGAACCCTAGGGGTCACCCCCAAATGAGTCCCTCCTGAAACCTGACCCTCTTTCTCCAGCTCTGTTCATCACACTACAGCAAGCGGGACCGTTGTCCCCATCCCCCTCCAGCAATGGAAGGATACTTGTGTGTGTAAGCCATGCAAGGAGACGCTCATGTAAAGTGTGTGGACTTAATTTGGCAGCTTACAGAATAGTGCGAGCCACCTGCATAACTAGCATTCAAAAACAAGAAGGAACTGGGCAACGTGAGACAGGGTTCACCACTGCCACTGTATAAAAGCTCTCTTTGTTTAATGATTTAACATTATTAAACTTAATGATCCCCTAAATAATACTCCCCTACCGGAAGAGAAGAAATAGCATTACAGGGATACATTTGCCAAGGATTGTTACCTTCTTGGCTTCGTGCCACAGCCGTACCTTTGTACTTAGGGGTGGATGGGTGATATTGTACCTCTGTTTAGCTACAAGTTGGCATTTTACATTTCTTCCTCTGCCTGGCTTAATAACCCACGTGTTTGCTTTTATCCAGCAGTAGAAGGTTCATAGATTCAAAGGCCAGAAGGGAGGGACCATTCAACGCTCTTCTAGTCTGCCCCTCTGTTTAACACAGTGCGCAGAATTCAACCCAGTTCCCTCTGGATTGAGCCCAGTAACTAAAGTGTCTTCCAGAAAGGCTCCAGTCTGGACTGAAAGACATCAAGAGACAGAGAATCCACCACTGCCCTGGGGAGTTTTTTCCAGTGGCTAATCACATTTGTGCCTTGTTTCTAATTTTAATGTGTCTGAATTTAACTCCCAGGCCAGGTCCACTCTCGAAAACTTTTGCTGTCATAGTACAGGTGAAGGTTTTTGCCAGTGTAAGCTGCATGTACCCTAGGCGAGTTTGGCAGTATGGCTACATTGGCAAACCTTTTCCAGTGTAGACAAGAAATGGCTCCCAAGCTGTCGCTTCTCGGTATGCCTTTCTCCGCTCGATTAAAGAAGTTGCAACTTCTCCTGTGCACATTCATCAGCCTGTAAGAATTTCAAGTTTCAGAGTAACGGCCGTGTTAGTCTGTATTCGCAAAAAGAAAAGGAGTACTTGTGGCACCTTAGAGACTAGCCAATTTATTTGAGCATAAGCTTTTGTGAGCTGCAGCTCACTTCATCGGATGCATGCTGTGGAAAATACAGAAGATGTTTTTATACACACAGACCATGAAAAAATGGGTGTTGATCACTACAAAAGGTTTTCTCTCCCCCCACCCCACTCTCCTGCTGGTAATAGAATTTCAAAGCGCTTTACAAGCATGAGCCAATTAATCCTCACCACTGCACTCTGAGGGAGGTATTTTCACCCCCTGGGGAAACTGAGGCACCACGGTTGCCTCCACGTTTTCAGACATTGACTTGAGACTGCTTGTGTGTTATCCTGTGCCATCTCCTTTCCAGCTGTTCTAATTAGGGATGCGTGCGTTGGCATTGCCACTCGGGTGGGAAAGAACCTGTGTAGTTAATCACCATCATTATTATCAGCTCAATTATTTCCCCTCTGCGACAATGCCGTGTTTGGCTGTTGGCAAAGACAGACCAATTTCAGGGAATGTCTGGTCTGATTGCCCTCTTTTTCTGTGTCTTCTGTCTGTAAATGGAGGTGGGCCTAACTTGGCATGGGCTGAGGGGTGGATGTGCTTGTTGTAAACTGATTGAGACAAGCCGAGGGCCAAAGAGGAGGAAACAACATGAGATTAATTTTCTCACCGCGCAGAAGAGGAAGAAACTCCTGTTGCATTAGCTAGAGAGCTGGAACAAAAGCAATCTGCAATGCACCTCTCCTCTCCGTGCTTTATACCTGTAAATAATACTGACTCTCGAATGCCTGGAAACTGGGGTCCCAATTCACCAAGGTCCTTAAGCATATGCGTTATCCATCTGTCTGTCTACCTCATCTCCGTAGACGGATAGATAGGTATGAATGGAGGAGGCTAGTCAGAGGGGTTTGCATGGGGTGGATGGATAGGAATAGATATATATATGGGGATGGCTCAACGGAGGTTATGGGGATTGATGGATGGATCTATCAATCTAATCAGGCCCTTGATGAGTAACGCAGGTAAGGAGTTATTTTGGATTTCTTTAAATATATTGACAGGTTTCAGAGTAGCAGCCGTGTTAGTCTGTAATCGCAAAAAGAAAAGGAGGACTTGTGGCACCTTAGAGACTAACCAATTTATTTGAGCATAAGCTTTCGTGCGCTGCAGCTCCCTTCATCGGATGCGTGGATGCATCCGATGAAGTGGGCTGTAGCTCACGAAAGCTCATGCTCAAATAAATTTTAGTCTCTAAGGTGCCACAAGTCCTCCTTTTCTTTTTAAATATATTGAGAGTTTTTCCTTTAAAATATACTCCCAGTCTCTTCCCCTGTTAGCTTCTATTTTACTGGTTCTCAAATTGCGGCGTGCACACAGTGGGGTTTGGGGTCTGGGTCCTGGCTGCCTCCCTGGCCCCGCACTGCGGGATCCGGGGTTGGGGTTCCTGCCCCACGCCCGGCTCTCTGCTCCTGGCCCCACTCTGTGTTGGCGTCTCTGGGCGGAGTTCACTGGGCATAGGGGTTTGTGGGGCAGGGGTTCGGTGGGGGGCACTGTGGTTCTCAACCACAGGTAACGCTTTGTGGGCCGCATATCTGGCCCACAATGATAAATAGCTTGCGAACCACTGTTCTGTTTAATTCTGCCTGTTTACATGCTTGCTCGCTGGCTCGCTTTCAGGCAGTCCAAGACGGTAAGCAGATATAAACCAGAATCTAACACCATGGAGCTTCCCACCCATCAGCGAGGCCCGTGTTACAACACTGATGAATTCTGGAGCGGGCTCAGCCGGCGGCCAAGGTAGGGAAGGGTGTGCTTCCTACACATCGGACAACATTTTCCATCCCTCCGCTCAGCAGAGTTATATTCTGGTGCTAGCGCGAATCCACACGTATTTGACCCCGTTACATAACCCTTTTCATGCCTGTACCTCGCTATGATACGGCAGCGCCTGGGTGGATTCTAACTATAGCTTCCCGGCTGGGTGGTTTTGAAACGACGCAGCCCTCTTCAATGTAAGCCTCTGGGGGCTCGTTTTATAAGCACCATCTCCACCCCGGGGAATGGAGACTGTAGCTGGGAGAGACTGTGCTGGCAAGTGGCTATGCTCAGGCCTGTAGAGAGAAATGTGAGGCCCCGTCCCATTTCACTTTATTTACACAGATGATTTTTGGGGAAGTCCCCTGAGCTTGGTTTCCCCGTGTAGTTGTCCCACCTTTTCCCACTGCCATCAACCCAGCCTGGGTTCTGCCCTAGCTGTACCACTGCCCGTGGTAAATGACTACTACTCGCTGTGCCTCAGTTTCCCCTCTCTGCCCTTCTCTGTTGTCCACACAGACTGTAATCTTTCTAGGGCAGGGACTGCCTCTGGCTACATGTATGTACAGCGCCCAGCCCAGTGGGGCCCTGACTTGGGCTGGTGCGTTTCGTTGTTGTCGTATTAGAAACAATGACAAACAGGAAAATGTGTGTCACGGAGTCCCTGGGCGATGCTCTGGAACTGCTCCCCATGAAGCCAGGCAGGACTCTGGGGCAGTCTCCTTTCTGTGAGCAGCCTGTCTGCAGGACACACAGCTCACCCGGCTTCCACCTCCCTGGGTCTGACCTCGGAGCCTTCAGCCTCCTCTGCCCCTCCGTGCGCTTCCCCCAGCGAGTCCACCCAGGCAGGGTCCTGGGGAAGCCAGAGGGTCCTGCCCCGCAACTTCGCAGTCAGACGGGACTCTCAGCCAGCCAGTAACACAGAAGGTTTATTAGATGACAGGAACTTGGTCTAACACAGAGCTTGTAGGTGCAGAGAACAGGACCCCTCAGCCGGGTCCATTTTGGGGGGCAGTGAGCCAGACAACCCCGTCTGCCCTTCACTCCATGTCCCAGCCAGCCCCAAACTGAAACTCCCCCCAGCCCCTCCTCCTCTGGGCTTTGTTCCTTTCCCTGGCCAGGTGGTCACCTGATTCCTTTGTTCTCCAACCCTTTAGCTCTCACCTTGCAGGGGGGGAAGGGCCCAGGCCATCAGTTGCCAGGAAACAGGGGGTCGGCCATTCTCTGTGTCCAGACCCCTGCACACACCTGCCCTCTAGGGCTCTGCAATGATCCTACACCCTTATCCCACCCCCTAGATACTTAAGAACTGCCTAGGGGAAACTGAGGCACCCCCACAATATTTGGAGGAAACATTAAGAACAGTCCCACTTCGTCACAATGTGTTATTTATTAGGTGTGTTACAGGAGTGCCGAAGAGCCCAAGCCACAGACAGGTGTGCTGGGTGCTGTACAAACACAGAAGAAAAACACCGTCTCTGCTCCAAACAGCTTTCAATCGCTCCATCCCTTGATTATTGTTCCCTATAAGCCATGTATATTCATGCTTCTCCCGTTTGTTCCCAGGTTCGGTGTCATTAGCATAATGGCCTAGGAGTTATGCAAATTCAATGCAAATTAAGCACCGGGTGGTTTGTTGTTGGTTTTGCAACGTCTGGACACCCCTGAGTTACACAGATGATGGAATGAATCGCAGTGGGTGTTGGAAAAGCATATGCCAAGATTTGAGTGGCCGCTTTTATCCAAACCCTCCGGTTATGTTTTCTATCATGTGCCAGTGGCTAATGAACGTATTTTCTCTTCGAGTTGCCAACGAACATCTTTTAGGAACCATGAAGAAACAGCTAATGCACAGCTGAAACAACATGTATTTATCTTGCAGCCCGCACTGGATGGAAGAATACAGGGAAGCCTCACCCCTGCTGGTACGTTTTCACACAGGCATGAGGGTGTTTTTAATGATTTGCTCAATTCCGGTGGAACTAACATGCCGTGTAAAAATAGGGACATGCAAATAGAATTGATCCTGATTGGTAAAGCTTTTTGCAAACCTAATTTGCTCACGGCTCCATGGGCTCTGACCCCTTTTGAGTGCAGTAATGGATTACTTACCTGGCTGGAGCACTCCTTAGACACCTGCTTCAATTTGTGATTATTTGCATCATGGTAGCACCTTGGGGCTGCAATTGAAATGAAGGCCCACACAGACCCCAACTGAGATCCGAACTGGGCCAGTGTCTAATCATGTTTACACTGGTGTCAATCCAGAGCAGAGCAACCCCTGCTGACTTCAGTGGAGTCACTCTGGATTTATATCCATGGAACTGAGCTCAGAATCTGGCTCATTTTCTCCAAGTTGTGGGAGAACACCCATTGGGGGCACCAGCTCCCTTGATAAAAATGTTTTTACCCTTTCCTGTTTATTGTTACCAGGACGATGAAACAGTCACTGTTCAAAATTTTTGTGGCTAGTTGAAGAGCTATTCCCCACCCATCCCCGCCCCCAGATTCCCTTCTCTTTAAAAATATTACTCATGTTATCATGCATGCCAATTACTGGCCTCCTGCTGCTCTCTGAGCTTGCATAAAATTTATTTCTGGCAGGCATCATTAAAAATAATACCTTATGTACCTGCATAGCTGTCAGTCCCCTGAGAAGTGATGCAGAAGCTAAGGCTGATCTGTGCAACAGACCTTCACTCAGGCTCCCAATTCTTCTCCACTCATTGCTGCTTTCTCTCTCCAGCCCTCCCACCCCCCAAGACGTCCCTTACCCAAACCGTCTCCCCCACAGTCCCACTCATCAGTTGGTGCGATAATCGCGTTAGCACCTACCGGGCCCCCACGATTAACGATGTGAAGTTATACATATGGTAATCGCTTTCTATCATTTGTGTGGGCAAAGATTCCACCATCTCCTCCCTGCTCCCCGCCCCTCCCCCTTTTGCTGAAGATCGTTCGCGTTGTGATGCCGAGCACCTTAAGTGATGGCTTTTTGGATCTCTGGTTTGTGCGTGGCGGAGGAGGCAGGAAAGATTGGCAGAAAAGGTGCCATTCAAAGAGTTTTCTGGAGTTTTTTGGGGTGCATATGGGTATGCTCCAGCCCAGAAGATGATTTTTATCGGTAATACAGTACCAGCTATGGAGCCCCCAACTGAGATCAGGTTCCCGATTGTGCAGGGCGCGGTACAGACCCCTGACTGAGATCCCGGTCCCATTGTGTTGGGCTGTATACAAACACCTAAGAGTTAGTCCCTGCCTCAAAAAGTTTACAGTCCAAATGACAGTCGAAGTGACTGATAACCCTTAAACAATGGCTTCAAAGGTAGCCTATGCAGATGATTTCCACCCGTTTTAATGATACGGGAAGAGTCTGTTATTCTGTTGCTACGGCTTTGTCTACACTGGCATGTTCCTGTTTTCTCGGGTGATGCGTGCAGTGGTCTTAGCTCATCTTTCCAGGTGGCCACGCCTGCTCCGCGCACCGGGCGATCCCCAGCTTGGAGCAGTGCCGAGCGGCTGGACCTCATCGGCATTTGGGGAGAGGAGGCTGCCCAATCCCAGCTGTGCTCCAGCCCTCAGAATTGTGATATCTGTGGACAGATTTCATGAGGCATGACAGAAAGGGGCCGTGACCAGGACACACGGCAGTGCAGGGTCAAAGTGAAGGAGCTGCGAAATGCCTGCCACAAATGCCTACTGCTGCGCCCATGAGCTGCCGGTTCTACAAAGAGCTGGACGCGATACTCGGTGGGGACCCCACCTCCACTGCGAAGGCCCCTGTGGATACTGCAGTGGCTCACGTGCCAGTCAAGAGTGGACCGAGCCAGGAGGAGGAAATCTTGGACGAGGATGTGGAGGGGGACCCAGAGGCAGAGGATGACTCGGAGGTCAGGGATGCAGGCAGCCAGGAGCTCTTCTCTACCCCAGAGGAGCCTAGCCAGGCAAAGATGTCGGAGCTTGGTGAAGCGCAAACAGGAGAGGAGGCCCCTGGTAAGTGGATTTGATTTTGGGAATCGCTGAAGCAAGTTGTTGGGTGCAGAAGGGTTGCAGAAAGCAGGTTGTGTCTGTATGACACACGTACCACCGCGTGCCTAGTCTGAGCGGTGGAACAGGGTGTTGATTGACTCCCTCACTTCACGGGAATCTGCCTCAGCGATCTCCAGGAAACTCTTATGGAGACACGGGGCAATCCGCTGCCGCAGGTTCTTTGGCAGAGCTGCTTTGTTTCTTGCCCCATTAAGAGTAACTTTCCCGGGCCACTCTGCCGTCACCGGATGGGAGGGTTGGGGGTGGAAACCATTGCTGCACACAGGCGAGCTGCATAAGGGCTAGGGTGGAAGCCTCAGGCTTGGAGAAGACCCTCCCTTGATTCCCTGCTCACCCTCAGCAGCAAGATATCTGCCATAATGAACATAGCCTGTGGAAAATGTGGGGACAGTAACAATTATAAGCGCCCCCCCCCCCCAAGCTGGCTCTCCCAAAAAGCCACATGCCCAGTGTACAGTACAGTCCTGGAACAGTGATTTCCCCTGCCCCTGCGGTTACTCACCATTCTGGGGTCTCGTGGCTCATGTGTGCTTGCCTGGGGTCAGCCAGTTAGTGACAGGTATGTGAATAGTGGCTGTATTTTAAAGCACTGAACCAGTGGTCTGTGTTGCAAACAATACTGCTTCTGTTAAACGTTGCGTTTTGCGTTCACAGAGATGACCTTGGGAGCCCAGCCTCCCTCTTTGTTATCGCCGGCTGAACGGGTGCACAGAATTAGAAAGCGGCCACGAAGAACTAAAGAGGACTTTCTTCATGAAGTCCTGATGCACTCTGCGGCCGAAAAACAGGAATTGAAGGAGTGGCCGGAGAGCAAGAAGAGGGACCGAAAGGAGAACACGGCACACCAGAACGAAGCCACGGAGCGGCTCTTAAAGGTTATGGAGCGCCAAGCAGACATGCTCCAGGAGCTACTAGCTCTGCAAACTGAGCAGCTCCGCACCTGCCCTCCCCTGCAGCCGCTGTCGCAAAATTCCTTCCCATGTGCCCCCCAAACACCGCCAACACACTCTTATCAACCTCCTGGCTGCAGTCTGTACCCGCTGCAGTCCACTCCTGCCCCATCCCAGTCCAGCCCTGCAGACACCCAGTGCCCAGTGCACTCAACACCCGTCTTTCTGCAGTTTGGCCCTGCTATAGAACAGTATCCTCTGCATTGTACTCCAAAGGAGAAGGTTGGATATGATACCTGGACATACACAAATCTTTAACCGTCCCGGGACCCCACCTCCTCATGGGACCCTCCCTTCCCCCATCCCCCTTCAGTGCTGATGTGTTTTGTTTTTTTTTGTTGGTCTCTCTCCTCCGGTTGTTTTTTAATAAAAGGATTGTGTTGGTTTGAAAGCAATCTTTAGTTCATTAATTGAAAGCAACCAGAGCCCTGCAAAGCAACAGGTGATTTTCTTAAACCTTCATATTGCATTGTCTGCACCAATCATAATCCCCTCCTAGCATTACAAGCACTGCACTTCCATGCATATCACAGTGGCTTTCAGCTTCAAATTGTTGCCTCAAAGCATTCTTGATCCTTACAGCCCCACACTGCGCCCCTCTAATAGCCCTGGTCTCTGGCTGTTCAAACTCAGCCTCCAGGCGCTGAGCCTCTGCAGTCCAGCCCTGAGTGAAGCTTTCACCCTTTCCTTCACAAATATTATGGAGCGTACAGCACGCGGCTATAAGCATGGGAATATTGTCGTTGGCCAGGTCCAGCTTCCTATACAGTCATCGCCAGCGAGCTTTTAAACGGCCAAAAGCACACTCAACAGTCATTCTGCACTTGCTCAGCCCGTTGTTGAACTGCTCCTTGCTGCTGTCAAGGCTCCCTATGTAGGGTTTCATGAGCCACGGCATTAAAGGGTAAGCGGGGTCTCCGAGGATCACAGTGGGCATTTTGACTTCCCCTACGGTGATCTTCTGGTCTGGGAAGAAAGTTCCAGCTTCCTGAACAGGCCACTGTTCCAAAAGATGCGTGCGTCATGCCCCTTTCTGGACCGGCCTGCATTAATGTCCGTGAAACGCCCACAGTGATCCACAAGTGCCTGGAGAACCATTGAGAAGTACCCCTTGTGATTAATGTACTCGGTGGCTAGGGGGGTCTGGTGCCAGAATTGGAGTGTGCGTGCCATCTATCACCCCTCCACAGTTAGGGAAGCCCATTTGTGCAAAGCCATCCACAACGTCACGCACGTTGCCCAGAGTCACGGTCTTTTGGAGCAGGTTGCGATTAATGGCCCTGCACACTTGCATCAACACTCTGAACTGGTTAGCAACCGATCGGTAGCAATCTGGAGTAGCCAGATTCCACAGTGCAATCACGACGCGCTTCTCCAGCACCAGGGCAGCTCTCAGTCTCGTGTCCTTACGCCGCAGGGCTGGGGCAAGCTCATCACACAGTCCCATGAATGTGGTTTTCCTCCTGTGAAAGTTCTGCAGCCACTGGTCGTTATCCCTAACGTGTATCATGATGTGATCCCACCACTCAGTGCTTGTTTCCCGAGCCCAAAAGCGGCGTTCCACTGTGGTCAGCACCTCCGTGAATGCCACAAGCATTCTCCTGTCATAGCTACTACGCGTGGCGAGATCGATGTCGCACTCCTCTTGCCTTTGGAGTTTAAGGAATAACTCCACTGCCACTCGTGACGTGTTGGTCAGAGCGAGCAGCATCCTGGTCAGCAGTGCGGGATCCATTCCTGCAGCCCGACAGAGGCAGCATGAGCAGTACACAAACCGTTGAAAGATGGCGCCAAACGCGGACGGAAGCACAGGGATTGCTGGGATGCGAAGCCATGCATCACGGGGCATTGGGACAGGACTCAGGATGCCCCGCGACCCCCTCTGCCTTCCCACAACTCTTAGCAGCAGAAGAGGAAGAAAAGGAGGACTTGTGGCACCTTAGAGACTAACCAATTTATTTGAGCATAAGCTTTTGTGAGCTACAGTAGACGGTCTATGGGATATCTGCCCAGAGTGCACCTCTCCGGATATCACCGCAAGTGTGAACACCTTATTGCGCAGGCAGCTGACAGTGTGAACACACAACAGCGGTTTCTCTTCAGCGCTCTCTGTAACACTGCCAGTGTAGATGTGCCCTAAGAGATCATTCGGGACACACAAAAGGGGGTCTGAGACAGACTGCTACATTTCTTAAAGGACACTGTTTTAATTAATTGTTAACTCCTAAACTAATTAACAGACTTGCCTGAAAATTTTCAATCACTTCACTGCACGCTTGAAGAATAAGGGCTGGAATTTTAGGCAGGACATAACTGTATGTTGCAGATGTAATAAAAAAGGATGGATCACAACTTTAAGTGCAAAACTCACCTTAATTTTTGTGACATGGTGCCTCCGTAGCAGAGAAAACAGATAAAAGAAGTGGGAATGGAAACAGGCATAAAGCAGGGCACAAAGTGACTGAACCCAGGTCGATGCCTGACCTGGGAAACCGCAGGTGGCTTCATAGCTTCACTGAGTTTAAAGCCAGAAGGGATCAACAGATGAACTAGCCTGACTTCCAGGCCCGGGGATTTCAAGCCCCAAACCAATCTGGATGATTACGAGTCCTTGAGACATTTCCGATGATGGTTAAATCTACCACCCACCTGCAAAGCTGTGAGGAGGTGTACAAGTAAATCTCCCTTAAAAAAACCATTAAAAATGTAAGCTGGGTTTCTCCCCCGCCCTGTCCCCCTTCCCGACTAGCTCTTTTGATTAATTATCTTTGTAGGGCACCCAGTGCCTCTCCAAGTGTTGTTATTGTTCCCCACTTAGCACTGCGAGGGCTGTTAATTAGGAAGGCTCTTGGCTTTGGGGAGTTGATTTTTAGCTCATTACCAGTGAGACTGAGGGTGTAGCTGGTGCTAAGAGCCGATTTGCAACCGGCATGCTTAGTAGGAGAGGCTTGAAAAACCTTGCTGGGAGTCAGGGGCCAAGGTAAAGAGAGAAGAACACGAGCGGCCTGATTCCTGGGGGCAAGGATGGGGTAAATTCCTGTGTCCTACAGTGGGCCTGTACCAGGAAACTCTTGACCAGCAGCAGTCCTTTCTTATGGCTTGGCAGACAGTTGAGAGCACAACTGCTGATCTCAGCTGGGGCAGGATGATTTCAGGTGACTGTGGTGGATTGAAAACTGTGTAAAAATGGACACCTAAGGGGTTGTCTGGTCCTGCTTGCAGGCCAGGGGCCTCTTTAGGGCAGCATGTAATCTGTGTCCTGTGTCGTCATCCGGCTGAGGTGGAGTGAGTTGTGCCTCTGACTTAGGGAGCAGCCTGCCTTGTCTCTCGCTGGTTTTGGTTCTGGTGTGGATACCCCTGAGCGATGGAGTGATACCAGTGTAGGTCTGCAGTGTAGACCAGACCTTCCAGAAATTCAGGAAACCCAGCCGGTGCCGTTCATGGAGCACTGGTTGAATACCCTGGCAGACAGATCCTTCATGTGCCAATAAAAGTCCCTCCTCAAAACTCACCTCTTCCATAATAGAACACGGCAGCCCGAAAACGCTGCTCCCGATCGGCTGAAAAATGCATGTGTTGTATTATTTGTGTTACATTGCCTCCCACCATGACCTGCTTTTTCATCTCATCCACCTGTGATGTCTTTTAGCTTGGGGGCAGGGACTATATGTCTGTATTGGGCCTAGCACAAGGAGGCTCCCGCCTGGCTGGCTTCTAGGCACTCCCACAACTTAAATTGTTTATTAATAGCTTCAGTTTCTGGGTGATTCCTGGTTTTAAGGTGTAGGATCCAATGGCAGGTGTTGATTCAGACCAGGGTCTCTCTCTCTGTCTCTCTCAGTGGCCAATGCCAGGTGCCCCAGAGGGAATGAACCGAACAGGGAATCATCAAGTGATCCATCTCCTGTCACCCATCCCCAGCTTCTGGCAAACAGAGCCTAGGGACACTTTCCCTGTGGATTCAAAATGGCTCAAAAGAAATAATTTCCCAGACAGTGCATTGCTGGCCTGTGGAACACCCTGCCACTTGAAGTTACCGAGGAAGAGGAGGCAGAAAGGTTCAAAGGAGGGCTGGCCGTTTATATGGGTGAGACTATCCAGAGTTATGATAGCTCATGCTGAGGGATATTAGTCCTTGCGGTTCATTGTTCAAGCCAATCTCTGTTAGAGACCAGTATGAAACCTAATGTAGGGGCAAATTAGCCCATTGCGGGGTTCTTGTACCTTCCTCTGAAAAGAGGATACTGGGGTCTGATCCAGTCCGGCAATTCCTATGTTCTCTTTACCCCTTAGAGGTCTAGCTCAGCCGTCCACAGGCCCGATGCTCAGACAGACGCAGGCTCCTGGCAAGTGCTAGCTGTCCCGCGGGCACTCCCCTCTCCTCGGGAGCTGTGTCGGAGGAGAAGCGGCCGGCTGAAACGAAAGAGACTGGAGAACGGTAGCGTGATGTCGGTCTGTTACCATCTGGAGGATCTGAAGAAAAGGCAAAGCAGCATTGATCAGTATGGAATTGAATTTATTGATCGGTCGGGCGTCTGTGGGAGGGGAATGAGTGGGACTTGTGTTCTTTCTCTATTTCTGCATTGCCCAGTGTCAGTCAATGCAGCGAAACCATTAATGGCATTAAGACGGAGGGCTGTGTACATACCCAGGTAAAGTGATAAAACTCTCAGGCCTTGTCTGGGTTTGTCTAGCTTCACTTTGCAGCATCGAATTTCTGTTCCCCAGGATAGACTGTGATCAAGTCACCCTTGTACCTTCTCTTTCTTAAAGTAAATCGGTTGAGCTCCTGGCATCTCTCACTATGTTAAACCAATACAACCCCCTGACTAAGTGGCTCTCAATGTTTCCAGACTTCTGTAGCCCTTGCAGGAGTCTGATTTGTCTTGCCTACCCCCCCAAGTTTCACTGCACTTCAAAACAACATGCTTACAAAATCAGACCTAAAAATGCAAGTGTCCCAGCCACACTGTGACTGAAAAACGGCTGACTTCCTCATTTGTACCAGACAATTATAAAACCAATCAATTGGAATATAACGACTGGATGTACATTTCAGTCTGTAGTCTATGGAGCCGTATATACAAGTCATTGTCTGCGTGAAATTTTAGTTTGTCCTGACTTCGCTAGTGCTTTTTATGTCACGTCCCCCTGGTTGAGAACCGCTGATCTAAGAGACCGAAGTGATGGGGCAGAAAGATTTGGAGGACTGCATCTCTTTCTGTCAGAAATCCCAAACACTCCTTCGTGCCGTTGGCAAGGTGCCTTTGTTGCTGTTGATTTCGAGGCTGTCATTTTTATCTTTTTTGCTTCTTAACTATTGATTGCTGTGGGTTTTAAATCTTGCAAGCTATGCAGGTTTGGCCAGGTTTGGCATCTGGAGGGGAGGGCTTCAGTTTTCCCTTATAATTCGGGTTGCCAGTTTTGGTTGGAGATTCATCACGTCACATAATCTTTAATTAAAGGTTAATGTTTAATTCCTGGAGACGCTATAATGCGTCAGGAGGTAATGGTGGCGCACTCGCTGCAATATCTGCTAGGGGGCGCTGTGCTGCAGGGGGCGGGGGGCTCAGCAGGGGGCGCTCTGCCCTGGCAGGCAGGGCTGACTGTGATCCCCCCGTGTAGTGCTAGGGGGCGCTCTGCTGTGGGGAATTGTCTTCCCGGATCTTTGCAATAATTAAATAATCCCGGCGGTTTTAAGTCAGGTGTTAATCTCGTTGTCCCAGCCAACTTCCAACCTGAGTAATTAAAGTTACGGGATGACTTGATTGCAGTCTATACGTACTTACAAGGGGGGAACCAATATTTAAGAGCGGGCTCTTCAATCTAGCCGAGAAAGGTCGAACATGGTCCAATGGCTGGAAGGAGAAGCTAGACAAATTCAGAGTGGAAATAAGGCAGACATTTTTAACAGTGAGTGTAATTAATCATTGGAATCGTTCACCCATCTTTGGGTGGATTCTTCACCACTGTCAATTTTTAAATCAAGTTTGGGTGTTTTCTTAACAGGTCTGCTCTCGGGAATGTTTAGGGGCAGGTCTCTGGCCTGGGTTATACAGTGGTCTCCCCCAGCGTAGGAATCTATGAAACGGTCATTGGGGCGGTCAGTTCGTAACTCTGAGGATCTACAGTACCAGGCCCCCAATCTCAGTTCAGGCCTCTCGGTACTCCTGGGGCATATTTGAGTGTTTGGAAACACTGTGCTGTGTGCATGGTGCTTTGCAGGTTGAAGCGGTGGAAATGGGGTGGATATGGATCCCCAGCCAACTCTGAAGGGCTTGAAGGCGCCGCTGTCTCTCTCGCAGAAGAATTGCAAAGCGGAAGGGACCTGCTGAGCCATTTGACAAAACCAAGACCTTCCTGGCTCTGTGGAGAGGAGTCTTTTGTTAGCAGCAGCGGGCAGGTGAGTGGGGTGTGTGGATCACACACGTGGGTGAATGAATGGGCTTAGGGGTTCTTTTTAAACCTCTCTTGTTCACTGTGTGAGGTGCACATTCCGGTTTTTGTTCCGATGGAAAACGGTGGCACTGGAAAGTGTTGTCATGCTCAGAACATAGGGAAAGCGGCTCATTCATGGTCCAGCCAGTCCTATAACCCGTTTCCAATGATGGAACAAGAAACCCCATGGGAACCATATTCCTAACCTCCAATTACTGGGGGATTGACTCATGCCTTAAGGCAGGAGGTGTCATATCCCTTCCAAACCTCTTGCTGAGTTGGAAATCCTGATTAGTCTCACTCTGAATGTTCTCTTTAGCCTCCCGAATCCTGCTAATCATAGAAATGTTGGGCTGGAAGGGACCTGTGCTGAGGCAAGAAGAAGTAAACCTGGACCATTTTGCTGACTGGTGTTTGTCTAACCTGTTCTTAATAACCTCCAGGGATGGGGATTCCACAACCCCCCTAGGTAACCCGTTCCTGTGCTTAACTGTCCTTAGAGTCAGAATGTGCTTCCGAATATCTAATCTAAATCTCCTTTGCTGAAAACTAGGCCACATCCTTCTTGTCCTGTCCTCCGTGGATATAGAGAACAATTGATCACTATCCCTCTTTATAACATATTTGAAGATTATTATCTGGTCCCCCCTCAGCCTAAAGGTGCCCCGTTTTTTGAACTTTTCCTCCTAGGTCAGGTTTTCTAAAACTTTGATCATTTTTGTGGCTCTCCTCTGGGGTCTCTCCAATTTGTCCACGTTTTTCTTAAAGTGTTATGCTCAAAACTGGACAGAGTACTCCACCTGAGGCCTCACCAATGCCAAATAAACCAAAACAATTACCTCTGTGTCTAACATACACTCCTGTCCTCAATGAGATATTGTGGCAGTGAGTTACATGGGCTAATTGTGCCTTGTGTGGACAAGTTTTTCCTCTGAGCGGTTTTTAATTTGCTGCCTTCCAGTTGAATTGAATACCCCTCTTGTTCTTGTGTTATGGATAAATGAATGGAAGGGTTCAACCCTACTTCCCTTTTATCATTTCATATAACTTTATTACCTCTAGCGCGGGGTGGGAAATGATTTTCCCATCCTGTGAGAATCTCTGAGATTTTGTAAATTTTCCCTGTCCCAAATCAGGAGGAAAAGTCAAAATGTTTGCAAATGGAACATCTTGCGGGGGGGATCAGTTTGGATCGGTTCAATCGAAATCTGTCCTTTCAATCATTCTGAAATTTTTCATTTTGATTTTCACTTTTTTTTTTAACATTTTTTAAATGACAAACTCACGTCAATTTCAAAATAAAAAGTAATTTCACACCTTCATTTTTAAAATGTCAAAACAGCCGGTTTTCACAATTTAAATGCTGTCCCCCCAGTTTTTTTCAAAGCAGGAATATTTGTTTAAATTAGCCCTGGCCTGCAAAAAGTTTCAATTCTGATGAACTGGCATTTTCCAGCCCCCCCTCCAAAATTTTTTTTTGAATCAACCAGCTGTAATCATGTCCCTTTGTATTCCTCTCAAGCAGTTTTATAAACACAGCCCTCTCTCTTCTCTGTGGATGACTTCACCTGCTCTCAAGGTGACACCCCTTAGATCTGCAGGGCCAGTGCAGCTAGGAAAGAGCAAGCCGCATCCCTTTCTGCCTCTGACATCTCCGACCAAACTGTCTGCTCGGACCCACTTGGCAAATCTTCATCCTGATGACGTCAGAGGCAGAACAAACCTAGCTGGGTTTTCACTTCCCAGGCAACGGTTGGTGATTAAAACAACGAGGAGTCCGGTGGCCCCTTAAAGAGTAACAGATTGATTTGGGCATAAGCTTTCGTGGGTAAAAAACCCACTTCTTCAGATGCATGGAGTGAAAATTACAGCTGCAGGCATTATTACACATGAAGAGAAGGGAGTTACCTTACAAGTGGAGAACCAGTGTTGACAGGGCCAATTCAGCCAGGGTGGATGTAGTCCACTCCCAATCACTGTAATAAATGTAGTCCACCTAAGGAATGAAAAGCCCCATGATTCCTCTGTGTGTGTTATTGGGAGTGGACTACATTTATTACAGTGATTGGGAGTGGACTACATCCACCCTGGCTGAATTGGCCCTGTCAACACTGGTTCTCCACTTGTAAGGTAACTCCCTTCTCTTCATGCGTAATAATGCCTGCAGCTGTAATTTTCACTCCATGCATCTGAAGAAGTGGGTTTTTTACCCACGAAAGCTTATGCCCAAATCAATCTGTTACTCTTTAAGGGGCCACCGGACTCCTCGTTGTTTTTGTGGATACAGACTAACACGGCTACCCCCTGATATTTGGTGATTAAAGGAATTGTTAAGACCTTGACTCATAGAACGAGGACATTTTCTCTGGAAATCGGGTCCTGGTGCAGAAGTAAACGGGAGGGCAGTCTTCATACTGCCTCAGCATGGCAGGGGGATGGATTAGATGACCTCTTGAGGTCTCTTCCAGTCCTACATTTCTATGATTCTGTGGACTGGGCCCTAACGTGTACAGCGGCCCTTGGGGGAAGGCCGGCTTTGTAATCATTGGAAGTCCTGGAGAAGATGCACAGTAAGGCTCTGGGTGTGTGGAAAGGGGCAGTGAACCAGCAGCTGAGTGCCGCCCCAAGGAGGGTTGCAGTTCAGCGGGACGCTGTCCGTTTACCCTCCAAGGAGAGTCCGGTGTGATGGATAAGGTACAGGACTCGGGCGTAGGACACCTGGGCTAGGAACTATTACGCCGGTAACCCTTTCTATTTCCATTCCTTTGCCCTCAGAGGAGCCACGGCCACAGCAAGGGACCCCCGAGGAAAGCCGGGTGGTCTCCTCCCTCGTGGCCATGGGAGACCGACCCCAGCTGCCGGTCAGGTGCCGGCCTGAGGAAGCCTTCTGGGGCTTTGGGCACAGGCCAGAAGAGTGATCCTGAAGTGCTCGGCATTAGCATGGGGGATGGAGGGGACTATCACCCACGCACAGTTGCAGCAGGCCTTCTATTGAAAGTGGATTAACTCTCCTCTCCTGACATCGGGTGACGGGAAAGCGAACTCCCCGAGAGCCTGCTCGGTTCCTGGTTATTGACTGTTTCGTGCCTTGGGTTTTGGGTGTTGTTGGTTTTTTTTTTTTGGCAAGGAAAGCAACCGATTCCTTCTTTGACGCTCTCTGTGGGCTTTCGGGACACGGCTCCGCAGCCAGAAAGACACCGGCAGAGACTTCAGGATTGTTTCCATAGTGATTCAGTGAGTAGAAGAGGAGGCTGCCTGTATTCCCCCGCACCCCGCTCCTACATATCGGAGGGGTGTTTTAGTTATCGAACGCTTAGAGCGCAAACCAACCCAGGGAACCGTGTCTAAGGAATCTACTGCCTTCAGCTCCTGGACATGATGAGCCACCCTGACACGTGCTGAAACAGCCTCAAAGCCATGTCCCCTGGCCACCCTCCCACCAAAAAATACTCAGATAAGCCTCCAGCCTGGGACCTTGTCAAAACCTGAGCTGAAGTTTGGATCCGTCTCTGCCCGGGTGGAAGGCTGTGGGACCCTACCCTCCTGGGAGACAGCTTGCGCTCCCCTCTTCCTGCGGGAAGGGCAAAAGCCATGGGTGGCCCGGTCCCGGGACACTTGAATATGCTTCTCTTCTCCCCAGCAAGAGCCGTCCAGGTGAGGTAAGTGTGAAGAGGGGCACCAAGGGGAGAGGCGATACTGCTGGCTTTCCCCAAAACTTGGTGTCAGGGAGAGTGGGGTGCGAACCCAGACCAGTTCTGCTCTGGCCAGTTCCCCTGTCCCTAGTTTCGGGGTAATCACCCTTGAGGAAATACCTTGGGCCGAACGCCTGACCCTCCAGCGCTCTTTGGAAAACCCAAGCCCCCCCTCCTGGCTCATTTCGGAAGGCCGACTTGAATGAAAACAGCGAGGGTGAAATTCAATTGGGGCCAGTGAATTTCCCTGAGAGAACAATCAGGGTTCTTACCCTCTTTGTGCTGCGTCTTTCAGCAAGGGCTGGGGCTGGCTGAGGTCCATCCACCATTGCACCTGACTCGTCCAATGCGGCGGGATAAAAACACAGGTTCTCGGCAATGCTCAGACCGTCTATTGTCACTGCAAAATGATCAGCGTTGGGCTTTTGAAGGCGTCACATAATAGCCTGCTGTGACTAGCATCTCTGGATAGACCAGATGTTTGGCAAGCGTGCATTAGAGTGAGGGGTTTGCAGTCTGGCCATACGCAATTAGCTCATGTTGTACTGTAATATCTGAGGCCAGCAAAGCACATAAGCCCATGCTTGATTTTAAGCACATGCATAAGCCTATCGATGTCCAGCAAGGAGTGTAAGTACCTAGCTGAAAGCAGGCCCAACTGATTCATGCTTTTACTGTTCCAGAACATTTAACATATACTTTGTGAAGTTCAGTAAGAGTTAACAAGAGAGCTCTGTTGTTCAACTCTAGGAGAAGTGACCCTAAAGGTTTATTGGACAATTCCTTCGTTTATCTCACGGTAGAGTGACCCTACGCAAAATCTGCACTAGCATTCTTGTCTCGGTTTTGCTGCTTTTCGATGCCTAAGGCTTAGCTCAACTTGTCTGGAAAGGTTATTTAGACAGTGGTTGTACACTCCTGTATTCGTTATGGGAAATGTAGCTTATTTATTATCCGCACTATTAAACGAAGTGGAAACACTTGGCCGTGTTTACATTTTTTCCCCTATCAAAAGAGCTTCATGGAAAGAAGCTGTAAATAGGACAGAGGCAAATTTTTGCCATGGTAGCATCTCTCGGGGGCCCCGATGTGCCAGGTGCTATGCAGACACAGGAGTGGGAGATTCGGAGCTCGTCCACACAAGACACCATCGAAATAGACAAAAGGTGGGCAGGGAAATAGAGGGAAAGGGACTTGTCCCAGGTCACACAGGACTTCAGTGGCAGAGCTGTGATTAGAAACCCGGTACCCTCACTGCCAAGCCAGTGTCACAACCCACTAGGCCACCCTGCCGCTTCTCCAGCCTGTCTCCCCTCTCTTGCTTTTTGCTCGCTCAGGCTCTGAGTCACTCCTTCGCGGAGGAGCCCCGCACTTCAGCTTTGATGTGAAGGTTTACGTGGTGCGGAGGCGAACTGCCCTTTCAGAACCTGGCCCGTCACAGCACCATCGAAGGCCCGAGTGCGAAAGAGCAGGGCTGGGTTTCTCCTCAGGGCTGCAAACGATAATGGCCCGAGATTTCCCCCTGCCCCATTAGCGAGGCCTTGCTGCCTCCCAAGATGCTTTGCAGGGATAAAGAAAGTGATCCCAGCACCCAAGGAAGGTTCAAATTAAATTGACGAGGGTGGAGATACCGGTTTTCAATGCTGTAATGGATTTACCCTGGGGTAGCTCAGATCAGCGTCCTCTCGTTCATCCTCTGGCTCCAGCACAATGTCGCCTGGAAGACACACCTCGCCCTGCCACAATCTGCTGAGAGTGCCGGGAGCGAGCCACCAGGGCGGGGGATTTGAATGGGAGGCCGCTTTCGTTCCCAGGCGGCCGGGTGTGGCGAGAACGGACCATCCTGGGCCACGTTGGTTTTCAGGGAGGACTCGGGCACCTAAATCACTGGTGTGGCTTTGAAAAGGCTGCCAGCCATCCGTTCCCCACCTTCAAAGGAGAATCCTTCTGTTCTCCCCTGCCTTGCTCGTCCGCATGCAGGTCTTCAAGGCAGGGTCTGTTCCTGGCTGTGTGTCTGTCCCACGCCCGGCACAATGGGGTCCCCGCTCTCAGTCGGGGTCTGGGCAAGAGGCAGGGCAGTTGGGATTTAAAACAATGGCTGGCAAAGCAAAATTCAACCATGCCTTGATGACGACGCGAAATGCCTGCTGCTACACACGGCTCGTGTCCCGGAGGATACAGGAATGTGACCTTTGTTGCGTCAGAATTTCTTTTTCTCCCACGGTGCTTGCCCCGTGTACCCACAGAGGTGCAGCGGGGGGTCTGTCGGGCCCAGATCCCCTTTCCTACGGGGTCAGATTTATGAAAGAAGCTGGCAACACGTGGTAGGTGGCACAAAGGGTTGCCAATTACTTCAGGTTTGCAGTCATTTCCTCCGGGCAGCACAAGCCTTTTTGGCATGTCGACCAGCGAGAAGGAAAAAACACCAAACAGAACACCCCAGGGAAACACATGAGGGGATCAAAATCATGCACTGAGCAGCCCAGGGAAGGCCGTGCATGCCTGGGAAAAGTGCAGATTACCTCACCCCACTCACCTTCCAACACAATCCACGCGGAGAGGTGCAAATTCCCGCCCCCTGCCCGATTCCACTTCCGAGATGTGCCCGTTTGCTAACCGTGGCCGTAATACGTCCGCGCCAGGAACAGAACAGCGTGCCAAGGGAACCCGGCTCCCGTCAACTCCAGCTTCAAGCAGCGGCTGCTGGTTCTGAAATGACATCTCTCCCTAGGCGGTCACTTGTCGTCCTGGGGCCAATGGTGGCACCCAAATCCACAGATTCCCCATCCAAACTTTTTTTTTTTTGGATGGAAAATTAGGTTTCGGATGGAGTTAAAATTTCCCCAGAAAACGTCTGTGCCCTTTGACCACTGAAGACCCCCAGATTTGGACATTTTTCCATTTGGGGCAGTTCTGGGGGGGGGAGTTTTAATTTTTTTGCCACTTCTTGGCTGGAAATTTTTTTTTTTTGGCCAAAGGTTTCTCAGCTTTTGGCAGCTTTCAGCCCATTTTTAGGTATTGATTTGGCCCAAATTGTCAGAGTTTTCAGTTGCTTGAAAACCAAATCAATCAATCAAATTGGAGGGTTTTGACCAAAAGTTCAAAATTTTCCACTGAAAACGCAGATGATCACGGTCCATCGCCGAGGCTTTGACCGGCATCGTTCTGACTCCGCAGCCAATGTGACAAAACCAGCAACATTAACAATTCCCTCGGGGGAAGGACAAGGTGTGCCGGGAGCTGTACAAATACGGAACGCAAAGACAGCCCCGGCCTTGCAGAGCTGGCAATCAAAGTACTAGCCCCGAGACAACAGGCGGGCACAGAGGGAAGCACGAGGTGAAACCGCTGTGTATGCAGGGTGGTTTCTTTTGGGGGAACGTACCAGGAGCGCCTTTGCGGGCACCAAAAAGGGGTCTTGAAGTGAGGCGGAATGAGCCCTCTAAGAGCCCCCTTGCCCAGTGCAGGGGGCTTCTCAGGCCTCTGCTCTGGTCCTGCTCCCGGATGCAGCGGGGATTGCGGTGTCCCGCTCTACGGCTACGATCTGCTCCGTGGGAAGCAACGCATGTGTTTGAACAGCCCGGAGGGTGCTCTCGTTGACGCTGGGGACAAGACCTGAAGGCCGGGAGTGCACAGCCACCCGACTCCGGTCCTGCCCCAGCCCCAGAAACAGGGCGACAGAGACTCGGGGGGCCCTCGGATGGGAGACTGGCCCCGATTCCTCACTGGTTAGCCCCTGACATTGGCTTGGCATGGGCTGAAGTGGGGAGACGAGGCTGGGGCGTGGGTGGGGAATCCGGCTCGGCGTCGACACTGTGGAAAACGATATGCAGTGAGCCATAGCATTCGGCCCTATACAGAACCAGATCATGCAGATCACATTGAAAACTATATATTGTGGTCCGTACGGCAGGGCCCCATAGAGAACCACGCCCTCTGGTCCATAGGGCCGGGCCCCGTAGAGAACCACGCCCCGCGGTCCGTAGAGGGCCGGGCCCCGTAGAGAACCACGCCCCGCGGTCCGTAGAGGGCCGGACCCCGTAGGGAAGCACGCCCCGCAGTCCGTAGGGCCGGGCCCCGTAGGGAAGCACGCCCCGCGGTCCGTAGGGCCGGGCCCCGAAGGGAATCACGCCCCGCGGTCCGTAGGGCCGGGCCCCGAAGGGAATCACGCCCCGCGGTCCGTAGGGCCGGGCCCCGTAGGGAATCACGCCCCGCGGTCCGTAGGGCCGGGCCCCGTAGGGAATCACGCCCCGCGGTCCGTAGAGGGCCGGGCCCCGTAGGGAATCACGCCCCGCGGTCCGTAGGGCCGGGCCCCGTAGGGAATCACGCCCCGCGGTCCGTAGGGCCGGGCCCCGAAGGGAATCACGCCCCGCGGTCCGTAGGGCCGGGCCCCGAAGGGAATCACGCCCCGCGGTCCGTAGGGCCGGGCCCCGAAGGGAATCACGCCCCGCGGTCCGTAGGGCCGGGCCCCATAGGGAATCACGCCCCGCGGTCCGTAGGGCCGGGCCCCATAGGGAATCACGCCCCGCGGTCCGTAGGGCCGGGCCCCGAAGGGAATCACGCCCCGCGGTCCGTAGGGCCGGGCCCCGTAGGGAATCACGCCCCGCGGTCCGTAGAGGGCCGGGCCCCGTAGGGAATCACGCCCCGCGGTCCGTAGGGCCGGGCCCCGTAGGGAATCACGCCCCGCGGTCCGTAGGGCCGGGCCCCGAAGGGAATCACGCCCCGCGGTCCGTAGGGCCGGGCCCCATAGGGAATCACGCCCCGCGGTCCGTAGGGCCGGGCCCCATAGGGAATCACGCCCCGCGGTCCGTAGGGCCGGGCCCCGAAGGGAATCACGCCCCGCGGTCCGTAGGGCCGGGCCCCGAAGGGAATCACGCCCCGCGGTCCGTAGGGCCGGGCCCCGTAGGGAATCACGCCCCGCGGTCCGTAGGGCCGGGCCCCGTAGGGAACCACGCCCCGCGGTCCGTAGGGCCGGGCCCCGAAGGGAGCCACGCCCCGCGGTCCGTAGGGCCGGGCCCCGAAGGGAGCCACGCCCCGCGGTCCGTAGGGCCGGGCCCCGAAGGGAAGCACGCCCCGCGGTCCGTAGGGCCGGGCCCCGAAGGGAATCACGCCCGCGGTCCGTAGGGCCGGGCCCCGAAGGGAATCACGCCCCGCGGTCCGTAGGGCCGGGCCCCGTAGGGAATCACGCCCCGCGGTCCGTAGGGCCGGGCCCCGTAGGGAATCACGCCCCGCGGTCCGTAGGGCCGGGCCCCGAAGGGAATCACGCCCGCGGTCCGTAGGGCCGGGCCCCGAAGGGAATCACGCCCCGCGGTCCGTAGGGCCGGGCCCCGTAGGGAATCACGCCCCGCGGTCCGTAGGGCCGGGCCCCATAGGGAATCACGCCCCGCGGTCCGTAGGGCCGGGCCCCGTAGGGAATCACGCCCCGCGGTCCGTAGGGCCGGGCCCCGAAGGGAATCACGCCCCGCGGTCCGTAGGGCCGGGCCCCATAGGGAATCACGCCCGCGGTCCGTAGGGCCGGGCCCCCGAAGGGAATCACGCCCCGCGGTCCGTAGGGCCGGGCCCCGAAGGGAATCACGCCCGCGGTCCGTAGGGCCGGGCCCCGTAGGGAATCACGCCCCGCGGTCCGTAGGGCCGGGCCCCGTAGGGAATCACGCCCCGCGGTCCGTAGGGCCGGGCCCCGTAGGGAATCACGCCCCGCGGTCCGTAGGGCCGGGCCCCGTAGGGAATCACGCCCCGCGGTCCGTAGGGCCGGGCCCCGTAGGGAATCACGCCCCGCGGTCCGTAGGGCCGGGCCCCGTAGGGAATCACGCCCGCGGTCCGTAGGGCCGGGCCCCGTAGGGAATCACGCCCCGCGGTCCGTAGGGCCGGGCCCCGTAGGGAATCACGCCCCGCGGTCCGTAGGGCCGGGCCCCGTAGGGAATCACGCCCCGCGGTCCGTAGGGCCGGGCCCCGTAGGGAATCACGCCCCGCGGTCCGTAGGGCCGGGCCCCGTAGGGAATCACGCCCCGCGGTCCGTAGGGCCGGGCCCCGTAGGGAGCCACGCCCCGCGGTCCGTAGGGCCGGGCCCCGGGAGAGCACGCCCCGCGGTCCGTAGGGCCGGGCCCCGTAGGGAATCACGCCCCGCGGTCCGTAGGGCCGGGCCCCGTAGGGAATCACGCCCCGCGGTCCGTAGGGCCGGGCCCCGAGGGACCACGCCCCGCGGTCCGTAGGGCCGGGCCCCGTAGGGAATCACGCCCCGCGGTCCGTAGGGCCGGGCCCCGTAGGGAATCACGCCCGCGGTCCGTAGGGCCGGGCCCCGTAACCGCCCGCGGTCCGTAGGGCCGGGCCCCGTAGGGAATCACGCCCCGCGGTCCGTAGGGCCGGGCCCCGTAGGGAATCACGCCCCGCGGTCCGTAGGGCCGGGCCCCGTAGGGAATCACGCCCGCGGTCCGTAGGGCCGGGCCCCGTAGGGAATCACGCCCCGCGGTCCGTAGGGCCGGGCCCCGTAGGGAATCACGCCCGCGGTCCGTAGGGCCGGGCCCCGTAGGGAATCACGCCCCGCGGTCCGTAGGGCCGGGCCCCGTCCGTAGGGCCGGGCCCCGAAGGGAATCACGCCCCGCGGTCCGTAGGGCCGGGCCCCGTAGGGAATCACGCCCGCGGTCCGTAGGGCCGGGCCCCGTAGGGAATCACGCCCCGCGGTCCGTAGGGCCGGGCCCCGTAGGGAATCACGCCCCGCGGTCCGTAGGGCCGGGCCCCGTAGGGAATCACGCCCCGCGGTCCGTAGGGCCGGGCCCCGTAGGGAATCACGCCCGCGGTCCGTAGGGCCGGGCCCCGTAGGGAATCACGCCCCGCGGTCCGTAGGGCCGGGCCCCGTAGGGAATCACGCCCCGCGGTCCGTAGGGCCGGGCCCCGTAGGGAATCACGCCCCGCGGTCCGTAGGGCCGGGCCCCGTAGGGAATCACGCCCGCGGTCCGTAGGGCCGGGCCCCGTAGGGAATCACGCCCCGCGGTCCGTAGGGCCGGGCCCCGTAGGGAATCACGCCCCGCGGTCCGTAGGGCCGGGCCCCGTAGGGAATCACGCCCCGCGGTCCGTAGGGCCGGGCCCCGTAGGGAATCACGCCCCCGCGGTCCGTAGGGCCGGGCCCCGTAGGGAATCACGCCCCGCGGTCCGTAGGGCCGGGCCCCGTAGGGAATCACGCCCCGCGGTCCGTAGGGCCGGGCCCCGCCCCTCCTGGGGCCCCGTAGGAATCCCCCGCGGTCCGTAGGGCCGGGCCCCGTAGGGAATCACGCCCCGCGGTCCGTAGGGCCGGGCCCCGTAGGGAATCACGCCCCGCGGTCCGTAGGGCCGGGCCCCGTAGGGAATCACGCCCCGCGGTCCGTAGGGCCGGGCCCCGAAGGGAATCACGCCCCGCGGTCCGTAGGGCCGGGCCCCGTAGGGAATCACGCCCCGCGGTCCGTAGGGCCGGGCCCCGTAGGGAATCACGCCCGCGGTCCGTAGGGCCGGGCCCCGTAGGGAATCACGCCCCGCGGTCCGTAGGGCCGGGCCCCGAAGGGAATCACGCCCCGCGGTCCGTAGGGCCGGGCCCCGAAGGGAATCACGCCCCGCGGTCCGTAGGGCCGGGCCCCGTAGGGAATCACGCCCCGCGGTCCGTAGGGCCGGGCCCCGAAGGGAATCACGCCCCGCGGTCCGTAGGGCCGGGCCCCGTAGGGAATCACGCCCCGCGGTCCGTAGGGCCGGGCCCCGTAGGGAATCACGCCCCGCGGTCCGTAGGGCCGGGCCCCGGAGCCCGCGGTCCGTAGGGCCGGGCCCCGTAGGGAATCACGCCCCGCGGTCCGTAGGGCCGGGCCCCGTAGGGAATCACGCCCGCGGTCCGTAGGGCCGGGCCCCGTAGGGAATCACGCCCCGCGGTCCGTAGGGCCGGGCCCCGTAGGGAATCACGCCCCGCGGTCCGTAGAGGGCCGGGCCCCGTAGGGAATCACGCCCGCGGTCCGTAGGGCCGGGCCCCGTAGGGAATCACGCCCCGCGGTCCGTAGAGGGCCGGGCCCCGTAGGGAGCCACGACCCGCGGTCCGTAGAGGGCCGGGCCCCGTAGGGAGCCACGACCCGCGGTCCGTAGGGCCGGGCCCCGTAGGGAATCACGCCCCGCGGTCCGTAGGGCCGGGCCCCGTAGGGAATCACGCCCCGCGGTCCGTAGGGCCGGGCCCCGAAGGGAATCACGCCCCGCGGTCCGTAGGGCCGGGCCCCGTAGGGAATCACGCCCCGCGGTCCGTAGGGCCGGGCCCCGTAGGGAATCACGCCCCGCGGTCCGTAGGGCCGGGCCCCGTAGGGAATCACGCCCCGCGGTCCGTAGGGCCGGGCCCCGAAGGGAACCACGCCCCGCGGTCCGTAGGGCCGGGCCCCGAAGGGAATCACGCCCCGCGGTCCGTAGGGCCGGGCCCCGTAGGGAATCACGCCCCGCGGTCCGTAGGGCCGGGCCCCGAAGAGAACCACGCCCCGCGGTCCGTAGGGCCGGGCGCTACAGAGGCCCGCCTCCGCCCCGCCCTGCGGTCCATACGGCGCTATAGCGCCCGCCCCGCGGCTCGGCCCCGCCCCCCGCCGGCCCCGCCCCCCGGCGCACGGCGCCCCGCCCCCCCCGTGCGCGCTGCGCTCACACGCACCGGGCGGGCGGCGGGGCCTGGGGCTGCGCGGGGCGATGGCGGCCGGCGGCGCGGGCGGAGGCGGCGGAGTCCCGGCAGGTACCGGCCGGGCGCGGAGCTTCTCCAGGGGCCCGATCCCCGGTGCCCTGGGCGGGGGTGCGGGGTGTGGGGCAGGGAGGGGCTGCTGGGGGCAAGTGCATGCTGGGGGTCAGGGAGGGGCTGGGGGCGTGGGGGGTAGGTGCATGCTGGGGGGCAGGGAGGGGCTGGGGGCAGCTGCATGCTGGGGGGCGGGGGGTGGGGGGTTCTGGGGCTGGGGGGGTGGCGGTAGGTGCATGCTGGGGGTGTGCGGGAGATCCTGGGGGGCAGGGAGGAGCTGGGGGGTAGGGGTAGGTGCACGCTGGGGGCATGTGGGGAGGGTCTGTGGGGCAGGGAGGGGCTGCTGGGGGGCAGGTGGACACTGGGGGGTGGGGGGCAGGAAGAGGCTGCTGGGGATGTGGGGGTCTGTGGGGGCAGGTGCATGTTGGGGGCGTGTGGGGGGGGGGTCTGTGGGGCAGGGAGGGACTGCTGGGGGTTTGGGGGGCAAGTGCATGCTGGGGGCGGGTCTGTGGGGCAGGGAGGGGCTGGGGGCGTGGGGGTAGGTGCATGCTGGGGGGGGTGCAGGGAGGGGCTGCTGGGGGGCAGGTGGACACTGGGGGGTGGGGGGCAGGAAGAGGCTGCTGCAGGTGTGGGGGGTCTGTGGGAGCAGGTGCATGTTGGGGGTGTGTGGGGGGGGGTCTGTGGGGCAGGGAGGGGCTCCTGGGGGTGTGGTGGGCAGGTGCGTGCTGGGGCTGTGGGGGGTATGTGAGGCAGGGAGGGGCTGGTGGTGGCAGGTGGATGCCCAGGGCGTGTGGGGGGGGCTCTGTGGGGCAGGGAGGTGCTCCTGGTGGGTGTGGGGGGGCAGGGAGGTGCTGGGCATGTGGGGGGCTCTGTGGGGCAGGGAGGTGCTCCTGGTGGGTGTGGGGGGGCAGGGAGGTGCTGGGCGTGTGGGGGGGCTCTGTGGGGCAGGGAGGTGCTCCTGGTGGGTGTGGGGGGTAGGGAGGTGCTGGGCGTGCGGGGGCTCTGTGGGGCAGGGAGGTGCTCCTGGTGGGTGTGGGGGGCAGGGAGGTGCTGGGCGTGTGGGGGCTCTGTGGGGCAGGGAGGTGCTCCTGGTGGGTGTGGGGGGGTAGGGAGGTGCTGGGCGTGTGGGGGGCTCTGTGGGGCAGGGAGGTGCTCCTGGTGGGTGTGGGGGGGCAGGGAGGTGCTGGGCGTGTGGGGGGGCTCTGTGGGGCAGGGAGGTGCTCCTGGTGGGTGTGGGGGGGCAGGGAGGTGCTGGGCTTGTGGGGGGCTCTGTGGGGCAGGGAGGTGCTCCTGGTGGGTGTGGGGGGGCAGGGAGGTGCTGGGCGTGTGGGGGGCTCTGTGGGGCAGGGAAGTGCTCCTGGTGGGTGTGGGGGGCAGGGAGGTGCTGGGCGTGTGGGGGGCTCTGTGGGGCAGGGAAGTGCTCCTGGTGGGTGTGGGGGGGCAGGGAGGTGCTGGGCGTGCGGGGGGCTCTGTGGGGCAGGGAGGTGCTCCTGGTGGGTGTGGGGGGGCAGGGAGGTGCTGGGCGTGTGGGGGGCTCTGTGGGGTAGGGAGGTGCTGGGCGTGTGGGGGGCTCTGTGGGGCAGGGAGGTGCTCCTGGTGGGTGTGGGGGGGCAGGGAGGTGCTGGGCGTGCGGGGGGCTCTGTGGGGCAGGGAGGTGCTCCTGGTGGGTGTGGGGGGCAGGGAGGTGCTGGGCGTGCGGGGGCTCTGTGGGGCAGGGAGGTGCTCCTGGTGGGTGTGGGGGGGCAGGGAGGTGCTGGGCGTGTGGGGGGCTCTGTGGGGCAGGGAAGTGCTCCTGGTGGGTGTGGGGGGGCAGGGAGGTGCTGGGCAGTGGGGGTCTGGAGCTGTGTGTCGGGCTCAGGGGTGTTGGGAGTGAGGGTGTCAAGGGACAGGGAGGGGGCACTGGGGGCGTACTGGGGTGGGGAGGGGGCACTGGGGGAGGTGAGAATGGGGGCTGAGGGTCATAGGGGGCAGGGAGGTGATGCTGGGGGGCTACAGGGGCCGGGGAAACAACGGGGAAGGGTGTGGAGAACACAGGCCGGTGCCTCCGGGGTGGGCCGTGGGGTGGAGGCCACTGGCTTGCGCTCAGGGGCACTAGGAGGGGGCTGGGCCCGTGACCCCCCCACCCCGAGATCGGGGCCCCCCGTGGTGCCGGGCGCTGCACAGACCCCCCCACCCCGAGATCGGGGAGCGGGTGGCAGAGCTGGAGAGAGAGGGAAACACCAGAGTCGCCCTTGCCCGGCGCTGAGATGCGGCCACCTCTGGGGCGGGGCGGCTGGTGACATGGGGCCCCCTCGCCCGGTGCTTAGCTTTAGGAGCGCAGTGGAGGCTGGGGGGTTAGAGTGGGGGGGGGGGCTGGGAGCCAGGACTCCTGGGTTCTCACCCCAGCTCTGGGAGGGGAGTGGGGGCTGGTGGTTAGAGCAGGGGGGGCTGGGAGCCAGGACTCCTGGGTTCTCTCCCCGGCTCTGGGAGGGGAGTGGGGGCTGGTGGGTTAGAGCAGGGGGGGGCTGGGAGCCAGGACTCCTGGGTTCTCTCCCCGGCTCTGGGAGGGGAGTGGGGGCTGGTGGGTTAGAGCAGGGGGGCTGGGAGCCAGGACTCCTGGGTTCGCTCCCCAGCTCTGGGAGCGGAGTGGTGGCTGGTGGTTAGAGCAGGGGGGCTGGAAGCCGGGACTCCTGGGTTCTCTTCCCGGCTCTGGGAGGGGAGTGGTGGCTGGTGGTTAGAGCAGGGGGGCTGGAAGCCGGGACTCCTGGGTTCTCTCCCCGGCTCTGGGAGGGGAGTGGGGGTTGGTGGGTTAGAGCTGGGGGGCTGGGAGCCAGGACTCCTGGGTTCTCTCCCCGGCTCTGGGAGGGGCTTTCCTCTTCCCGGCCTGCTGTCGAGTGGCTTCCCCCGGGTTCCCAGGGCTCCTTGGTGACCCAGGCCGAGTCACTTCCCCTCTCGCTGGCTGCACTTCCCCTTGGCTCGGCTCCCCGGGGGGGGGCCGGGGGGGGCAGAAACCTCCTTGGACTTGGGCCGGGGAGGGGCCGGGCTGCACCCTGCGTCTGGCGGTTCGTTAAAAGGGCAGCTGCTCGGGGCCCGAGGGAAGAACCTGCCCCTAGAAACCTCCCTCTTGCCCTGGCTCCCCACTCCCCTCCCAGAGCTGGGGAGAGAACCCAGGAGTCCTGGCTCCCAGCCCCCCCTGCTCTAACCCCCTAGCCCCCGTTCCCCTCCTCAAGCTGAGCGCCGGGCGAGGGGTCCCCGTGTCGCCCGCCGCCCCGCCCCAGAGGTGGGCGCATCCCTGCGGCGGTAGGGAGACGCGAGCGCTGGTGCAGTCGTGTGGCGGGAGGGGGGTGACGGCTCGAAGGGGATGTGGGGAGGCAGCGCGGACCAGGCCCGTGGGGCCCGTGGCTCTGGGCGGGGGCCCCAGGCAAGACGGGGGGCGGGTTGTGCTCCGGTGGCGGGTGAATCCGCGTCCTGCTGCTCTTCCGTTCCCAGGTCTGAGCCGTTCCCCTGCCCCCCATGAGCTGAGCCCCCCCGGCCCGGAGCTCTAGTCGCCCAGCGCCAGGCCCCGACCATGAATTACAAGGAAACCACAGAGCTCTCCGGTGAGTCAGAGTGGGGACCCCCTTCCCAGAGCCGGGGAGGGAACCCCGGAGTCCTGGCTCCCAGCCCCCCCGGCTCTAACCCACCAGCCCCCTCTCCCCTCCCAGAGCCGGGGAGGGAACCACGGAGTCCTGGCTCCCGGCCCCCCCCCGATCTAACCCACCAGCCCCCTCTCCCCTCCCAGAGCCGGGGAGAGAACCCCGGAGTCCTGGCTCCCAGCCCCCCCGGCTCTAACCCACCAACCTCCGCTCCCCTCCCAGAGCCGGGGAGAGAACCCCGGAGTCCTGGCTCCCAGCCTCCCCGGCTCTAACCCACCAACCCCCGCTCCCCTCCCAGAGCCGGGGAGAGAACCCAGGCGTCCGGGCTCCCAGCCCCCCCCCCACCCCTCCGCTCCCCCCCCGACCCCCCCCCCCCCCCCCCCCCCCCCGATCTAACCCACCAGCCCGCACTCCCCTCCCAGAGCTGGGGAGGGAACCCCGGAGTCCTGGCTCCCAGCCCCCCCGCTCTAACCCACCAGCCCCCTCTCCCCTCCCAGAGCCGGGGAGGGAACCCCGGAGTCCTGGCTCCCAGCCCCCCCTGCTCTAACCCACCAGCCCCCACTCCCCTCCCAGAGCCGGGGAGGGAACCCCGGAGTCCTGGCTCCCAGCCCCCCCCGGCTCTAACCCACCAGCCCCCACTCCCCTCCCAGAGCCGGGGAGAGAACCCAGGCGTCCGGGCTCCCAGCCCCGTCTGCGATACCTGATTGTAACTCTCGTGTCTCCAGAGAACCATCACTTGAAGGTTTTCCTGCCCAAGAAGCTGGTGGAGTCTCTCCCCAAATGCCCTGCCCTCCCCAAGGAGCGACTGCGCTGGAATACCAACGAGGTGGGGAGTGGGGCATGGGGCCTGTCCCCTCTGGGGGGCGCCGGCTGCCCCCCGGCCCCAGAGCAGGGACCGGGGGGCTGGGAATGGGGCACAGGGCCTGTCCCCTGTGAAATGACTTGGTTGTCGGGAGCCCGGTCTCCGCACCATGGGCTGGGCTGGGGGCACGGTAATGGGGGGCTGCCTATGGGGGGGCCCCCCATATCCTGACCCACGGGTGCTGCTGTGTCGCAGGAAATCGCCTCCTATCTCATCACCTTCGAGCGGCACGAGGAATGGCTGTCGGGCTCCCCCAAGACCCGGTGAGCGGCGGGGAAGGGGGGCGGGGAGCGGCCCGGGGGGGGGGGGCTGTTCCCCAGGAGATCTGGCGGGGTGGGGGGGGCTCTGTGGCCCCCCACGGTGACCCCCCTCCGCTCTGCTCCGGCGCCAGCCCCCAGAACGGCTCCATCATCCTGTACAACCGGAAGAAGGTGAAGTACCGCAAGGACGGCTACTGCTGGAAGAAGCGTAAGGATGGCAAGACCACGCGGGAGGACCACATGAAGCTGAAGGTGCAAGGGACGGAGGTAGGCCTGGGGGGCCGGGCCCCGGGGGGGGCTGGGTCACGGCCGGGGGGGTGCCCCACACAGGGCGGGGGCCAGGCTGGAGTCTGCGGCGCTCGGTGCCCCAGCACTGGGTTGGGGGGGGGGGGGGGGGGCTGCCCCCTGGGGAGTGGGGGCGAGGGGCGAGCCCCCCCAGCGCTGAGCGTGTCGTCTGCCCGCAGTGTCTCTACGGCTGCTACGTCCACTCCTCCGTCGTCCCCACGTTCCACCGACGGTGCTACTGGCTGCTGCAGGTACGGGGGGGCCTGGGGCACGGGGGGGGGGCGCCCCTGGTTTTCCGGGGGGCGGCTCAAGGGCCACGGTATCAAAGCACCGAGAAGCAGGGCCCAGAGCAGGGGTCCCGCAGGTCTCGCAAGGCCCCCGCCCCTCCCCTCCCGGGGCCGGGCCGGGGACCCCGGCGTCCTGACGCTCCCCCCGCCCCCGCAGAACCCCGACATCGTCCTGGTGCACTACCTCAACGTGCCGGCCCTGGAGGACTGCGCCAAGGCCTGCGGGCCCATCCTCTGCTCCGTCAACGGCGACCGCAAGGAGTGGCTGAAGTGGTCCAAGGAGGAACTGGTCAACCAGCTGAAACCCATGTGTAAGGCGGGGGCACCGGGGGGGCGCGGGGGGCTCGAGGGGGCGGCGGGGAGCCGGGGGGGGGCGCGGCTGGGTCGCTCCCCCTCCCCCCAAGTCTGTCTGTGCCCCCCCCAGTCCACGGGATAAAGTGGACCTGCAGCAACGGGAACGGGACCACGGAGTTCTCCATCGAGGAGCTGGTGCAGCAGATCCTGGAGAGCCACCAGGCCAAGCCCCCGCCCCGCACCCACGCCTGCCTCTGCAGCAGCAGCAGCCTCGGTCAGTGCCCAGCTGGGGCCCCCCCCGCCCCCCCCCGAGCCGGGGAGAGAACCCAGGAGTCCTGGCTCCCAGCCCCCCCGCTCTAACCCCCCACTGCCCTCCCAGAGCCGGGGAGAGAACCCAGGAGTCCTGGCTCCCAGCCCCCCCTGCTCTAACCCCTACTGCCCTCCCAGAGCCGGGGAGAGAACCCAGGAGTCCTGGCTCCCAGCCCCCCCTGCTCTAACCCACCAGCCCCCGCGGCCCTCCCAGAGCCGGGGAGAGAACCCAGGAGTCCTGGCTCCCAGCCCCCCCTGCTCTAACCCACCAGCCCCCGCGGCCCTCCCAGAGCCGGGGAGAGAACCCAGGAGTCCTGGCTCCCAGCCCCCCTGCTCTAACCCACCAGCCCCGCGGCCCTCCCAGAGCCAGTCCCATGCTGAGGTCCCATGGATCCCTTTGGCTCCTCAGGGGGCTGCCAGCGCTCCCTAGTGGTGGATGGGGGGCACTGCTGCCATGAACGCAGGAACTGCGCCATCCTGCCCCCCAGCTCTAGCCCCCCCATATGCCCTGAGCCCAGAGCCGCCCTCCCCTTCCCCGGCCAGGGTCTCTCCCCTGGGGTCCCATCAGCGGGGGGGCCCAGGCCTGCGTCCGGCATGGGGATGGGAGCTGGGGATTCGCAGCCTCTGTCCGTCTGTCTGTCCCCTTCCCCCCCATCTCGCTGTCCAGCCGTCTGTCCACCCCTCCCTTCGCGGTCCGTCCGCCTGTCTGTACGTCCGTCCCCCTGCAACCCTGTCAGTCCCGCTGTCCGTCGGTCCCTCTGTCCGCCCGCCCGCCCCCTCACGTCGGTGTCTGTCCGTCCCGCAGGCAGCCCGGGGCACGTCCCGCACAAGTGCAGCACCACCAGGCATCGCATCATCTCCCCGAAGGTGGCGCGGCCCTGCCCGGTCCCGGCCCCGGCCCTCCCCGAGCCGCCGCGCCCGACCGACCCCGAGCCGGAGCCGGAGCCGGCCAAGCCTGACCGGAAGGAGCCCCCGGCCCCCGCCGAGCCCCCCTCCCCGGACGCCCCCCGGCCCTCGCCCGCCGTGGCCCTGTCGGTGGGGCTGCCCGGCAGCGCCGTCCTGGTGATGACCGGCCTGGAGAAGCCGCTGGCCCTCACGCCCAGCCAGCACCTGGTGGCGGGCGACCCGCCGGGCGGCCCGGTGGGCCTGGCCCTGCTGCCGGGCCCCGGGCTGGTCCTGTCCCAGAACCTGGAGGCCAGCATGGAGACGGGGGAGGCCGGCTCGGACGCCTTCGACCCCGACTGCTTCCTCAACAGCCCCGCCCGGGGCCAGACCTACGGGCGCCGGGCCCCAGAGCCGCCCCCGGCCGGCAACTGCTTCTTCATCCAGGACGACGGGGGGGCGCCGGGGCGGGGGGGCGGGCGGCCCCCGGCCGGGGAGACCCCCATGGAGACGGGGGGGCCCCGGCCGGGCGGCGGGGCCGGGGAGCAGCTGCCGGAGGAGCTGTACTCCATCATCCCGGCCGGGGGCGGGAGGGGGCCGGACCTGCCCTTCGGCCTCTCCCTGGATAGCCTCATCTCCGAGCTCATGACGGAGGGGGCCGGGGCCGGGGAGGGGGGCAGCCCCCCGCGCCCAGCCCTGCCCGACGCCCCCGGCGAGGCTGCCCCCCCGGGCGGCTCGGCAGCTCCGGAGACGCTGGTCACCATCACCGACTTCTCGCCGGACTGGTCCTACCCCGAGGTGAGCACGGGGGGAAGCAGGGATTGGGGGGGGGGCCGCCGCACCAGGCAGTGGGGCATCCACCCCCCCCACGTCCCCAGTTAACCCCTCGCTTCCCCGCAGGGCGGCGTCAAGGTGCTGATCACGGGGCCGTGGACGGAGGAGACGGATTCCTACACCTGCCTCTTCGACCAGGTGGCCGTGCCGGCCGCACTGATCCAGTCGGGCGTCCTGCGTTGCTACTGCCCCGGTACGGGACAGGGCGCCGGCTCCCCTCCGGCCCCGGGGCGGGGCCTGGCTGGCTTGGGGGGGCGGGGAAGGGGGCGGGGCCTGGCTGGCTCGGGGGGGCGGGGAATGGGGCAGGGGCCTGTCCCCTCTAGGGGGCGCCGGCTCCCCTCCGGCCCCGGGGCGGGGCCTGGCTGGCTCGGGGGGGCGGGGAATGGGGCAGGGGCCTGTCCCCTCTAGGGGGCGCCGGCTCCCCTCCGGCCCCGGGGCGGGGCCTGGCTGGCTCGGGGGGGGGGGAAGGGGGCAGGGGCCTGTCCCCTCTAGGGGGCGCCGGCTCCCTCCGGCCCCGGGCGGGGCCTGGCTGGCTCGGGGGCGGGGAATGGGGCAGGGGCCTGTCCCCTCTAGGGGCGCCGGCTCCCCTCCGGCCCCGGGGCGGGGCCTGGCTGGCTCGGGGGGGCGGGGAATGGGGCAGGGGCCTGTCCCCTCTAGGGGGCGCCGGCTCCCCTCCGGCCCCGGGGCGGGGCCTGGCGGGCGGGGGTGTTTTGTGCTGCCCCCTCTCACTGCCCCCTTCTCCCGTAGCCCACGAGGCCGGGCTGGTGGCCCTGCAGGTGGCCCGCGACACCCGGCTGGTCTCCACCTCGGTGCTGTTCGAGTACCGGGGCCGCGGGTTCCTGGCGCTGCCCAGCACCCAGCTGGACTGGCTCTCCTTGGACGGTGAGTGGGGCGCGGGATGGGGGGGGCTGCTCTGGGTTCCTGTGGGGAGGGGGAGACCGTGGGGCTGGGAGCCAGTGTGGAGGGTGCAGGGTTTTTGGCGGGGGGGGGGGGCAGGCGAGATTGTGGGGTGGGGTCTTTGGGGCCCAGGGCAGCAGCCTGTGTGGGACACCCTGTAATTCATCGCGGACAGGGACAGAGACTTGTCTCTGCCCCCACTCAGTCTCCAGAGGCTTGGAGGGAGGGGTCAGGGCTGGGAGCCCGGACTCCTGGGTTCTCTCCCCGGCTCTGGGAGGGGAGTGGGGGCTGGTGGGTGAGAGCAGGGGGGGCTGGGAGCCAGGACTCCTGGGTTCTTTCCTCATTGGCATGAGACCTGCATGGCCCTGTGTTGTCCCTGCTCTCCTCTGCTCGTGGGTCTGATTCTGCCCCCCTCCTCACGCCATTGTAAGGGGCGGAGCAGGAGGTGAGCAGAGAATTGTGGGGTCCCCGCCAAGTGGCAGCCAGCGGGCGAGAGCTAGTCCACATAGGGCCAGCAGCTGGCAGCGGGTTGGTGTATGCGGTGGGGGAAGGTGGGGGGTGTTTTTTTTCGGGGGGAGGCTGGGAAGGGAGCAGAGCACAGACAGGGACCCCCCCAGGAATGTGTGTACAGAGCAGCTGGGTCGGATGTAACAGGCCCAGACAGAATTTCCCGCCCCAGCTCCAAAACTGGGGGAGATCCCTTCCCGGCGCGGAGATGCGGCCACCTCTGGGTGGGGAGGCGGGTGACACAGGGACCTCGCCCGGCGCTGAGATGCGACCACCTCTGGGGCGGGGCATGGCAGGTGTCTGACAGCCGCAGTGCACCCGAGTTTAGGACAGGAAGTGAAGGCGAAGGCTCTGTGTGAATGAAACTGCAGGATGCCTGGATTTATTTTCAGCTCTGGAGGGAAGCCCTGAGGTTATGGGGCTGGCACCAAGTATGGGGAGAGCGCCCTCTGCTGAGCCCCCTGCCCCACGGCGCCCCCTGCCCCACGGCACCCCCTGCAGTCACTCTTCCCCCCTGCTGGGCAGTGCGGGGTGGGTGCCTTTGGGATTGCACTGGGGAGGGAGGGAGCCTGGGTAAGGGGGCAGGTGGGTGCTGGGCCGTGGGTCCCAGCTGAACCAGGTGGGGTGTGCAGGGGATGACCCCCCCCCTTCCTCTGGGAGCAAAGTTACATCACCATAGGGCAGATGGGAGGAGGTGGGGTACGGACCCACTGTCCTCTCCCTGCTGTCTGGGGAGAGAACCCAGGAGTCCTGGCTCCCAGACCCCCCTGCTCTGACCCACTCCCAGCTCAGTGGAAGGCTCCCCCGATGCGGTGGCCTGGCAGGCCGGGTGCCTCTCTGCTCCTTCCCCCCGTCAGCTGGCGTCAGGCGCCCGCCCACCCTGGCCCCTGCCCGTGGGGTGGAATTTCCAGTGGGGGGGAACCGGGGGGGCCGGTTTCCAGGGCCGTGAGTCAACAGCCCCAGAATACCCCGGCCGGCGGTAAGGAGACTCCTGGGCTTGTTCCGACGCTGCCCGGCGTCACCACTGCCCATAGAATCATAGAATCATAGAATATCAGGGTTGGAAGGGACCCCAGAAGGTCATCTAGTCCAACCCCTGCTCAGGACCAATTCCCAGTTAAATCATCCCAGCCAGGGCTTTGTCAAGCCTGACCTTAAAACTTCTAAGGAAGGAGATTTACCACCTCCCTAGGTAACGCATTCCAGTGTTTCACCACCCTCTTAGTGAAAAAGTTTTCCTAATATCCAACCTAAACCTCCCCCACTGCGCTTGAGACCATTACTCCTCCTTCTCATCTGATACCATTGAGAACAGTCTAGAGCCATCCTTTTGAACCCCCTTTCAGGTAGTTGAAAGCAGCTATCAAATCCCCCTCATTCTTCTCTTCTGCAGGCTAAACAATCCCAGCTCCCTCAGCCTCTCCTCATAACTCATGTTTCCAGACCCCTAATCATTTTGCCCTTGCTGGACTCTCTCCAATTTATCCACATCCTTCTTGAAGTGTGGGGCCCAAAACTGGACACAGTACTCCAGATGAGGCCTCACCAATGTCAAATAGAGGGGAACGATCCGTCCCTCGATCTGCTCGCTTGCCCCTACTTATACATCCCAAATGCCATTGCCTTCTTGGCAACAAGGGCACATCTGACTCATATCCAGCTTCTTCCCTTCACCCCTAGGTCCTTTTCCCGAACTGCTGCCGAGCCATTCGGTCCCTAGTCTGTAGCTGTGCATTGGGTTCTTCCGTCCTAAGTGCAGGACCCTGCACTTATCCTTATTGAACCTCATCAGATTTCTTTGGCCCAATCCTCCAATTTGTCTAGGTCCTTCTGTATCCTATCCCTCCCCTCCAGCGTATCTACCACTCCTCCCAGTTTAGTATCATCCGCAAATTTGCTGAGAGTGCAATCCACACCATCCTCCAGATCATTTATGAAGATATTGAACAAAACCGCCCCAGGACCGACCCTTGGGGCACTCCACTTGATACCGCTGCCAACTAGACATGGAGCCATTGATCACTACCCGTTGAGCCCGACAATCTAGCCAGCTTTCTACCCACCTTGTAGTGCAATGACGTGGGGGGCCTCCATGACGTGGGGGGGCCTCTCTGGAGAATCCCTCACACGCAGCGTCCTGGGGCACGGCCCCGTCCTCCTGAGGTGTGAACCCTGGCGTCCGGGCTGAGCTCCCCACAGCCCCCCCTCGGGCACTGGGCATGGAGGCGGGCTCCACCCCAGAATGTTACAGCTTCACTCCCCGGCTCACCGGCCGCCCCGCCCCAGAGGTGGCCGCATCTCGGCGCCAGGTGAGGCCGTGAGTCCTGGTTCCCCCAGACCCCTGCTCCCCTCCCAGAGCCAGGGAGAGAACCCAGGAGTCCTGGCTCCCAGCCCCCCCACCTCCCGATCTAACCGACCAGCCCCTGCTCCCCCCCAGAGCCAGTCACACCCCTCCAAGGCCCCTGGGTACAGCGTACCGCGGCCGCATGTGCCCAGTACCACGTCCTTCCCCCAGACACCTGTGTGCACACAGTCGCACACCACAGAGTCATGCAGCCTACACACGCGCCCACAATCGCAGACCCTGCTCCTGGTCACCCGTGCACACCGTACACCGCACAATATCGCCCCCTCCCCCCCCACACACACACGGCCGCATGCGCCCAATACCCCGGCCTTCCCCAAAGACCCGTGTGCAGTCGTACACTGCACAATATCACACTCTACCCCCCCACATACACCCTACCCCCAGACACAGTTGCACACCGCACAATCTCAAACCCTGCCCTCAGACACCCGTGTGCACACAGTCACACACCGCCCAATCACAGACCCTACCCCCCACACAGTCGCACAACTTCACATCCTACCCCCAGACATTCCCGCACAGTCATACGCCGCACAATCGCACACCCTTCCCCCACACAGTCAGACACCCTAGCCCATACACCGCACACACAGTCGCACACCGCACGATACCACGCCCTACCCCCAGACACACCCAGCCACTCGTACGCCCTACCCCTAGACACACCCAGTCGCACAATCGCAGAGCCTACCCCTGCACCCAGTCGCACACCGCACGATACCACGCCCTAGCCCCAGACACACCCAGCCACTCGTACGCCCTACCCCTAGACACACCCAGTCGCACAATCGCAGAGCCTACCCCCGCACCCAGTCGCACACCGCACGATACCACGCCCTAGCCCCAGACACACCCAGCCACTCGTACGCCCTACCCCTAGACACACCCAGTCGCACAATCACAGAGCCTACCCTCGCACCCAGTCGCACACCGCACGATACCACGCCCTACCCCCAGACACACCCAGCCACTCGTACGCCCTACCCCTAGACACACCCAGTCGCACAATCGCAGAGCCTACCCCCGCACCCAGTCGCACACCGCACGATACCACGCCCTAGCCCCAGACACACCCAGCCACTCGTACGCCCTACCCCTGGACACACCCAGTCCAATCCAGAGCCTACCCCCGCACCCAGTCGCACACCCACGTACACGCCCTAGCCCCAGACACACCCAGCCACTCGTACGCCCTACCCCTAGACACACCCAGTCGCACAATCGCAGAGCCTACCCCCGCACCCAGTCGCACACCGCACGATACCACGCCCTAGCCCCAGACACACCCAGCCACTCGTACGCCCTACCCCTAGACACACCCAGTCGCACAATCGCAGAGCCTACCCCCGCACCCAGTCGCACACCGCACGATACCACGCCCTACCCCCAGACACACCCAGCCACTCGTACGCCCTACCCCTAGACACACCCAGTCGCACAATCGCAGAGCCTACCCCCGCACCCAGTCGCACACCGCACGATACCACGCCCTACCCCCAGACACACACGGTCACTCGTACGCCCTTCCCCTGGACACACACAGTCACACAATCGCAGAGCCTACCCCCGCACCCAGTCGCACACCGCACGATACCACGCCCTAGCCCCAGACACACCCAGCCACTCGTACGCCCTACCCCTGGACACACCCAGTCGCACAATCGCAGAGCCTACCCCCGCACCCAGTCGCACACCGCACGATACCACGCCCTAGCCCCAGACACCCCTGCACACAGTCGCACACCGCACAATATCACACCTACCCCTGCACGCACAGTCGCACCCCATGAAATCTAACCCTCTTTCTGTCTTCTCTCCCCCCCCCCGCCCCCAGGCAGGAAAGGGTTAACAGCGGGATGGGCCCAGGGAGGGTTGCTGTTGGGGGGGCCGTCCCCCTCCTTCCCCGTCCTATTTCGGTCCCATTGAGAGCTGGGAAGGGGGGCAGGTCTCGTGCAGAGCGTGGGCTGCGGGCGGGAGATGGACAGATGCCTCAGGGCTCGGGACGGGGGGGGGGGGAATCCCCCTGCCCCCCCGCCCCCTCCCAGCCCGGAGCTGTCAGCGGGTCTCAGGGAAGTTTGGGGGGAGCGGTTGGTTCTTTCCCATGCCGGTAATTCCACCCCGCTCCTTGCTTGCCGCCCCCCCCGACCCCGTCCTCGCACGCACGTGAGTGGGGGCAGCCCCCCCCCCCGATCCCTGCCAGGAAACACCGGTTCCTGCAGGGAGTCGTTCGAACACCCACTCGCGCCCTGGGGCCCGTGCCCAAAGCTATGGAGAAGGAAGGTACCGAGGCAGGGGGTCCGTGGGGCACAGGGCACCAGCGAACCCCAATGCCCCGACTCGGGGGGAGGTGCCTGGGGAGCACCGGGGTGGGTTGGGAAGGGGACTGTGAGGGGAGGGATGGGGTGGATTGTGGGGTGCCATGGGGGGACGGGACGATGGTGGTGCATTGTGGGGTGCTATGGGGGGAGGGATGGGGTGGATTGTGGGTTATGGGGGGGAACGGGACGATGGTGGATTGTGGGGTGCTATGGGGGGGACGGGATGATGGTGGTGGATTGTGGGGTGCCATGGGGGGAGGGATGGGGATGGATTGTGAGGTTCAGCGGGGGAAGGGATGGGGTGGATTGTGGGGGGAGGAAAGGGGTGGATTGTGGGGTGCCGTGGGGGGACGGATGGTGCTGGATTGTGGGGGGCAGTGGGGGACGGATGGTGCTGGATTGTGGGGGTACGGATGGTGCTGGATTGTGGGGTGCCATGGGGGGACGGGTGGATTGTGGGGGGCAGCGGGGAAGGGATGGTGCTGGAGTGTGGGGGGAGGGATCTGGCGCTTTGTGGGAGCTGCGGGGGCATAGATGGGGGTGGAAGGGGGCACATGGTGGGGCGCGGAGGGGCAGGCTGGATGGAGGTGCCTGAGGACAGCCGCGTGCCCACCCCGTCGGGAACACCCCCGCCCAGCACACCCACACCCCCTCCAGCTCCTCTCCCAGCAAGGGGGTGGCATCGCTCAGCCCTTCCCGCCCTGGGGATGGGGCAGGGCCTTGCTGGGGGTGGGTCTCGGCGCAGGAGCTGGGGGGGCCCTGGTGGGGGGCTGCTGACAGGCTAATCCACCCTCTAGGCTGATTAGCTGCCCGGCCCCGTTCCACTGGCCCCGGAAATTAACCAGGCTAATCCCTACGGGACAGACGGGGGCGGGCACAGCAGGGTCGCACCGCTCAGCTGCCCGGACACCTGGGTTCTCTCCCCAGCTCTGGGAGGGGAGCGGGGTCTGGTGAGTTAGAGCAGGTGGGGCTGGGAGTCAGGACTCCTGGGTTCTCTCCCCGGCTCTGGGAGGGGAGAGGGGGCTGGTGGGTTAGATCGGTGGGGGGGCTGGGAGCCAGGACTGCTGGGTTCTCTCCCCGGCTCTGGGAGGGGAGAGGGGGCTGGTGGGTTAGATCGGTGGGGGGGCTGGGAGCCAGGACTGCTGGGTTCTCTCCCCGGCTCTGGGAGGGGAGCGGGGTCTGGTGGGTTAGACCGGGGAGGGCTGGGAGCCAGGACTCCTGGGTTCTCTCCCCGGCTCTGGGAGGGGAGCGGGGTCTGGTGGGTGAGAGCAGGGGGGGCTGGGAGCCAGGACTCCTGGGTTCCGGCTCCGGGAAGGGGAGGGGGTGTAATGTGGTGTTGCGTGGCCCTGTCTCCCGCACGCCCCCCGCCCCCAGATAACCAGTTCAGGATGTCGATCCTGGAGCGCCTGGAGCAGATGGAGAAGCGGATGGCAGAGATGACGGCTTCCTCCCGGCAGCAGCGGGGGGCCGCGGGGGAGACCCCCCCCACGCAGGTGAGACCCCCGGGGGCTGGATTCTCCGGGGGGAGAGCCGCTGGGGCTGGCTTGTTGTCATAGGGTCTCCTGGGAGGTATTTCGGGTTGTTTGTTATTGTAGGGTCTCTCAGGAGTCCTGGGGCCGGGTGTGCAGATTCGGGATTGTCAGGTGTCCTGGGGGAGGCTGGGGTTCGAGTAGCTCATGTCCATTACTGTGCAAACCCCCAGGGGTGCCAGGGGCTGGGAGCCAGGACTCCTGGGTTCTCTGCCCGGCGCTGGGAGGTCAGAGCAGGGGGGGGCTGGGAGCCGGGACTCCTGGGTTCTCTCCGCAGCTCTGGGAGGGAAGTGGGGGCTGGTGGGTCAGAGCAGGGGGGGCTGGGAGCCCGGTCCCTATGGCGCCCTCCCTACACTCATCCCCACATGTCCCCTGGGTCCTGCCTGGCCTCTCCCATCAGCCCTTGTCCTCCCCCCTCCTCTCGCTGCCCAGCTTGACGTCACTCCCCCTTAAGCCTTTATCTGTGTTGCTATTTCGGGGGCCCCCTCCCGAGGGGGGGTTAATTTTAGCCGGGCGGCGTGCGGCGTGGCTCGGATGTCGCGGGGCTGGGCTCGCTCCCCGGCGGCTGTTCCTGGCCGGGGCGGGGGGATTACAGAGGCATTTTCCAGCCTGGCAGGCCAGACATTCTTTCCAGCCTGAGCGAGGGGAAAATAGACCCGGGGGGGCCAGGGGCCACCTGGGGGGGGGCCACAAGTGGCTCAGGGGGGGAGGGGGGCTGTATTAAGCACCCGCTTGTGGGGGCCTCAGCCTGGCCTCTGCCCACCCTCCTGCAGAGATCCAGGGGTGCCCAGTGCTCAGCGCTGAGACATGGCCACCTCTGGGGCAGGGTGACGGGGACCCTCCGCCCGGCGTTGAGACGCGGCTGGTGATCCGGGGACCCCTCGCCCAGCGCTGAGATGCGGCCACCTCTGGGGCGGGGCGGCTGGTGATCCGGGGACCCCTCGCCCCCTACACCCCTGGGCGGGCGGCCCGGGCCCCGCCCAGCGCTGAGATGCGGCCACCTCTGGGGCGGGGCGGCTGGTGATCCGGGGACCCCTCGCCCAGCGCTGAGATGCGGCCACCTCTGGGGCGGGGCGGCTGGTGATCCGGGGACCCCTCGCCCAGCGCTGAGATGCAGCCACCTCTGGGGCGGGGCGGCTGGTGATCCGGGGACCCCTCGCCCGGCGCTGAGATGCAGCCACCTCTGGGGCGGGGCGGCTGGTGATCCGGGGACCTCTCGCCCGGCGCTGAGATGCGGCCACCTCTGGGGCGGGGCGGCTGGTGATCCGGGGACCCCTCGCCCGGCGCTGAGATGCAGCCACCTCTGGGGCGGGGCGGCTGGTGATCCGGGGACCCTCGCCCGGCGCTGAGATGCAGCCACCTCTGGGGCGGGGCGGCTGGTGATCCGGGGACCTCTCACCCGGCGCTGAGATGCGTCCACCTCTGGGGCGGGGCGGCTGGTGATCCGGGGACCCTCGCCCAGCGCTGAGATGCAGCCACCTCTGGGGCGGGGCGGCTGGTGATCCGGGGACCTCTCGCCCGGCGCTGAGATGCAGCCACCTCTGGGGCGGGGCGGCTGGTGATCCGGGGACCTCTCGCCCGGCGCTGAGATGCAGCCACCTCTGGGGCGGGGCGGCGGGTGACGGGGACCCTGCGCTCTCCCCGCAGACGGTGGCGGACTCCTTCGAGGAGCGGATCGTGGCCCTGTGCGAGACGATGATGTCTCGCTCCTCCTGGCTCCACTCAGACACCCTGGTCCATGACATCCGCTTCCGGGGCATGACCCTGCTTCACCTCGCAGCCGCCCAGGGCTACGCCCGGCTCATCGAGACCCTCATCAAGTGGCGGTGAGTTCCCCAGGCTGATGCGGGGCGAGGTGGGGGGCGTCTGTTGGGGGATCTCCGTTCTCCGCCCCCTAACGCTTGGGGATTTTCCTGCAGGAACCTCAGTGCCGAGAGCCTCGATCTGGAGCAGGAAGTGGACCCGCTGAACGTCGACCACTTTTCCTGCACCCCCCTGGTGAGGGGGGCCCCCAAGCTGGGAGGATTTGGGGGGATGTGCCCCAAGGGGAGGGATCCTGGAGATGCAGCCTCGGAGGTGGGGTGGCTGACCCTGAAGGGCCCCATGACCCACTCCCCACAGCACAGCGCCCCCTAGCGCTGCCCTGGGGCCAGCCCTGACTGCCAGGGGAGAGCGCCCCCCACTGAGCCCCATAGCGCCAGCCCCGCCTGCCCAGGGAGAACGCCCCCCCCGAGCCCCCCGTGCTGCTCCCTGCCCCACAGCGCCCCATAGCGCCAGGCCCGTCTGCCTGGGCCCCAGACCGCGCCCCCCCCCCCGCTGAGCCCCCCGCCCCACTCCCTGTCCCACAGCGCCCCATAGCGCCAGGCCCGTCTGCCCAGGGAGAGCGCCCCCCCTGAGCCCCCCGTGCTGCTCCCTGCCCCACAGCGCCCCATAGCACCAGCCCGGACTGCCAGGGGAGAGCGCCCCCCCGCTGAGCCCCCCGGCCCCCACTCCGTGCCCCACAGCGCCCCATAGCGCCAGGCCCGTCTGCCTGGGGAGAGCGCCCCCTGCTGCCCCCCGCCCCATTCCCTACCCCGCAGCGCCCCTTAGCTCCTGCTCTCTCCCGCCCCCACAGATGTGGGCCTGCGCCCTGGGCCACCTGGACGCGGCCCTCCTGCTGTACCGCTGGGACGGCCGGGCCCTCTCCATCCCAGACTCGCTGGGCCGGCTGCCCCTGGCCGTGGCTCGCTCCCGGGGCCACGTGGCCCTCGCCGCCCGCCTGGAGGATCTGCAGCGCCAGGAGCCGAGCCCCGAGGGCGCCGTGGACAAGGGCTGGGGGCCGCCGTGCCCGCCCGAGGCCCTGGGCCTCCCCTCCCCGCTCTCCGCCAGCCCCGACACAGGTACAGCACCCGCGCGGGAGGCCGGGGGGGGGGTGTCTGGTTCCCCCCCCTCGCCCGCTGACCCCCCTCGTCCCCAGGGCTCAGCACGGTGAGCAGCGTCTCCTCGCCCTCGGAGCTCTCGGACGGCTCCGTCTCCGTCACCTCGGCCTACTCCAGCGCCTCGGCCCTGCGCGACTCGCCCGCCGGCAGCCCCGAGCCCGAGGCCGCCATGGACTTCGGGCCGCCCCCCGAGGGCTGGTACCTGCGGGACCCCCCGAGCCCGCCTGGCCTGCGCTGCTCCCCCCACTTCTTCATGGACTACGAGGGGGCCCCCGAGCCGGAGCTGCTGGCTTACGGGGAGAACGCGGAGAACGAGGGGTACCTGCCGGCCACTGACGTGCTCCAGGTACCGGGGCGCTGGCGGGCGGGTTGGCTGGGGGGAGGTGGAAGGCTTGGGGGCTATGCAGGGGGATGGGCTGTGATCGGGGGGCACCCCTTCTCCCTCTGGTAAAGAAAGAGAAACAGAGGCATATTGACTGGCCCCAAGTCATTGGCAGGGGCAGAGCCGGGGAGAGAACCCAGGAGTCCTGGTTCCCGGACTCCCCCGCTCTAACCCCCCACTCCCCTCCCAGAGCTGGGGAGAGAACCCAGGCGTCCGGGCGCTCCCCCCCCCGCAGGTGGACATGATCACGCTGGCCAAGCAGATCATCGAGGCAACGCCGGAGCACATCAAGCAGGAGGGTTTCAGCTCCGCGGCCGAGGTGCCGCTGCGGGAACGAAGCGGGAACATGGGGCTGAGTGAGACCATGTCCTGGCTGGCCGGCTACCTGGAGAGCGTGGACCAGCTGCCCGGCGTCTCCCACCACAGGTACGCGGCCTGGCCTCCGGGGGGCGGGGAACGGGGCGCGGGGCCTGTCCCCTCTGGGGGGCACTGGCTCCCACCTGGCCCCGGGGGGGGACTGGCGGGCTCCGGGGGGCGGGGAACGGGGCGCGGGGCCTGTCCCCTCTGGGGGGCACTGGCTCCCACCCGGCCCCGGGGGGGACTGGCGGGCTCCGGGGGCGGGGAACGGGGCGCGGGGCCTGTCCCCTCTGGGGGGCACTGGCTCCCACCCGGCCTCGCGGGGGGACTGGCGGGCTCTGGGGGGCGGGGAACGGGGCGAGGGGCCTGTCCCCTCTGGGGGTTGTCGGCTCCCACCCGGCCCCGGGGGGGACTGGCAGGCTCCGGGGGGCGGGGAACGGGGCGAGGGGCCTGTCCCCTCTGGGGGTTGTCGGCTCCCCCCCCCCGGGGCTGGGCCCCGGGGGCGGGGAACGGGGCGAGGGGCCTGTCCCCTCTGGGGGGCGCTGGCTCCCACCCGGCCCCAGTGGGGACTGGCGGGCTCAGGGGGGCGGGGAACGGGATGCGAGGCCTGTCCCCTCTGGGAGGCGCCGGCTCCCCCCTCGGCCCCAGTGGAGACTAGCGGGCTCAGGGGTCGGGGAATGGGGTGCGGGGCCTGTCCCCTCTAGGGGTACCGGGGTGACTGTCTCATGCCCCCCACCCCCAGGCCGGTGCCCTCGTCCCGGGTGTGTCTCAGCCCCCTGCAGGCCCCGCTGGGGGAGCTGCCCTTCGACCGGCTGCCCCCGCCCCCCACGGCCGCCAGCTGGGCCGAGTTCCTCAACGCCTCGGCCAACGGGAAGATGGAGAGCGAGTTCGCGCTGCTGACGCTGTCCGACCACGAGCAGCGCGAGCTCTACGAGGCTGCCCGCATCATCCAGACGGCCTTCCGCAAGTACAAGGTACCCCCGGGGCCCCCCAGCCAGGGGCCTCCGCCCCTCCCTCCATCTTTTCCCCCGTTCCCCGGCGACAGGGATCCCCACGGCAACAGCCATCTCCGTGTACTGTCCCCTGGCAACTGGGAATTCCCCATGGCAACCGGCATCCCGGTGTCTCTCGTGCCGTCCCGTGGCAACTGGGAATTCCCCATGGCAACCGGCATCCCGGTGTCTCTCGTACCGTCCCCTGGCCACTGGGAATTCCCCATGGCAACCGGCATCCCGGTGTCTCTCGTACCGTCCCCTGGCCACTGGGAATTCCCCATGGCAACCGGCATCCCGGTGTCTCTCGTACTGTCCCATGGTAACCGGCATCCCGGTGTCTCTCGCAGAGTCCCCTGGCAACTGGGAATTCCCCATGGCAACAGATACCACCCCCCTTACCTGCCCAGCAGCAGGATAGCCCTCCCCCGATCCCGCCATCCCCGGGTGCCAGGGACCTGCCCCCCACCTCCGTCTCTGCCCCCTGCCCCTCACTCCCCTCTCCCCGCAGGGCCGCCGGCTGAAGGAGCAGCAGGAGACCGCGGCGGCTGTGATCCAGCGATGTTACCGCAAGTATAAGCAGGTAAAGCCCAGCTGGGGGTCCCCCCTGTGCTGCCCTTCAGGGGGCCCCAAGGTGTGGGGCTGCCCTGGGAGCTACCGGCCAGCCTGCGCCCACCCCAAGGGGGTTGTAGCCTGGCGCCCGTGTGAGCCAAGTCCTTCGGGTCTCTGCCCGGGAGCCCCACCCTGCCCCGCTAACCCGCCTCTTCTCTCTCTGTCTCGCAAGCTCACGTGGATCGCCTTGAAGGTAACGAGCGGGGGGGGCTTGGATGACCCTGCGGGGCATAGGGAGCTGGTGTGGGGTTGGGGGGACTCTGATTGCGGGGAGGGGTGTGAGATGCTAGTTCTCTTCCCGGCGCTGGGGTCTGGTGGGTCAGAGCACGGTGGGGCAGGGAGCCAGGACTCCTGGGTCCTCTCCCCGGCTCTGAGAGGGCAGTGGGGGCTGGTGGGTTAGAACAGGGGTGGGGCTGGGAGCCAGGACTCCTGGGTTCTCTCCCCAACTCTGGGAGGTGTTGCCTGATTTATAAGGTTAATAATATTAGTTTGGATAATAGGGGTTTTTGGCTCGCCAATCTGTTTAATTAAAAGATAATAAGGTTCTTGTCCCGAATCAGGCGCCCCAGAATTTATAACGGACCCTTGGGGGTATGACAGGAAGCTCACGCTGAGACCGATACGGCCTTAAAGACTTTTTATTAAGATAAAACGCAGGAGGAATTAAATGGTAAAATAATCTGAGTTACTGCGTTACGATTGTATTCCTGCTCTTCGAAAGATCCATAGGGGATTACGGTGTTACACGCTCCAAAGCTTTGGTTAAGAGACTCTCACCCTTCCTTGATAACCCTGTGGGGGGAGAGACAGGACCAGCCTCGCCTTTGGCGGTTCTGGTTCCTCACTTCTCGAGTGGGAGGTGCAGCGCTTAGGAGAAGCTAGAGCTAAGAGCGAGCGAAGCGAACTTGGAGTTTACTCAGCGAACTTAAAATCAAAACCTAATACACAAAGCTAAGAACAAACGCTTAGTCCCCTTGCAACTTAGAAAGGTTACGGAAAACCAGTACGGCCTCTCTAGCGAGGTGGGTCACCTCTTTTATAGGTGCCGGAAATCCTTCCTCCTATGCCCTAACTTCATTCCTCACCCCCAAAACTGTCAGGACCCACTTACTCCGTAGGCTGGCATGTTTGTACGCGTTGATGACCCGAACAGACCTATTAATGCCGTTGGACTGGACATTAGCATGGCCTTGCATGACCGCTGAACTTACTTTAATATCAATCTATAAACCTATTACAATAAACCAAACGTATATATGCCAGCAAGCAGGTTAATCTTACAGGCTACAGAGGAGCTGGGGCAGCTGGGAGCCAGGACTCCTGGGTTCTCTCCCTACTGCTGGGGGAATTCTGCGCCCAAAAATGTAAAATTCTGCACGCGATATTTTAACGTTCTGTATATTTTATTTGTCAAAAGGACACAATCACGCCAGTGTCAATAATCTTGGTCCTTTATCTGACTGCTACGATGTCTGTGACAACACAGACCAAAAAAGAAACCAGATTCTGGTCATTTTATTTGTTGACGAATAGATTCCTTACGCGGCAGAATAACACCGAGCGTTGTGCAGTTCATTTACATGACAATCCAGAACCGGGTTCCCAGCACCTGTCGGAAGCAGGGCAAAGGCTGGGGGGACTCGGGGTAACAGAGGAGCGAACCTGGAGGGGGCTGGGTGTGGGTGGGAGGTTTTTCTTTGGGGGGGCGGGGTGGGATTGTTAGGGTGTTCGGGAGCCTCCCCCATGCAGACCCTGGCTGACCCCAAGACTCTCCCATTCAGTCAGGCACGTCTGCCCCTGTCCCTGCACCTCCCATCCCCATGGGTCTCTGCAGCCCCTCTTCCTCCTCCCCAGGCTCAACACTGTCACCCCACTAGCCATTCTGAACCCCAGTCTGTGACCTCCCCAGCAGCCCCGTGTGCCCCCCTCTGTCCTAACCTGGCTCTGGGGGGGCCGGGTGCTGTGATGAATTCTGCGCCTGGGCCGGGATGCTGCGCCCGCGCAGAGCTGTGTTTTCTCCCGCAGACGATACGTTTCTGCCCCAGAAGTGCTGCAGTTCCACCTTGCGCCCACCAGAGGCTGCTGTGCTGGCACCCCAGCGGCCTCTGGTGGGGGAAAGGCGGAACTGCGGCACTTCTGGGGCAGAAACGTATCGTCTGTGGGGGGGCCAAGAAATGCTCGCGGGTGGCGCAGAATTCCCCCAGGAGTATCTCCCCGGCTCTGGGAGGGGAGCGGGGGCTGGGGGTTCAGAGCAGGGCGGGGCTGGGAGCCAGGACGCCTGGGTTCTCTCCCCGGCTCTGGCAGGGGAGTGCTCCGGGCCCCCCGCTGACCCCGCTGCTGCCCCGCAGTACGCCCTGTATAAGAAGATGACGCAGGCAGCCATCCTGATCCAGAGCAAGTTCCGCAGCTACTACGAGCAGAAGAAGTTCCAGCAGAGCCGCCGGGCCGCGGTTCTGATCCAGCAGTGTTACCGCAGCTACAAGGAGTACGAGAAGCTGAAGCAGGGCCACCGCGCCTCCGCCGCCATGCAGCAGAAGATGAAGTAGGTGCCCGGACTCCTGGGTTCTCTCCCCGGCTCCGGGAGGGGAGCGGGGGCTGGTGGGTTAGAGCCGGCGGGGGCTTCTCCCCCATCCCCACTGGCTCCTGTCACCTCTCTGGCTACGAAAAGATCCCACGGATCTAGGTGCCGTTGGCTGGGGCCGCTCCGCCCCAGAGGTGGCCACGTCTCCGCGCCGGGCGAGGGGTCCCCGGGGCACCAGCCGCCCTGCCCCAGAGGTGGCTGCGTCTCGGCACCGGGCGAGGGGTCTCTGCGACCATCTGCCCTGTTCCACCTTCGCTTCTTGTCTGTCCCCAGGGGCACTTTCCTTACGAAGAAGCAGGACCAGGCAGCCCGTAAGATCATGCGGTTTCTGCGTCGTTGCCGGCACAGGTAGGGGGGGGCGGGGGGCAGGCGGGCAGCGAGGGGGCATCCGAGGACAGGGGTGGGGGCAGCCCCAGGGGAGGGGGAGCAACATGTGCTCTAACAGGATGGGAATCTGGCTCATTGGAGGGGCTGGTGGGTGCGGTGGGATGACAGGTAGGAGGGTGCACAGGTGTCCATGCTCCCAGGGCTGGGATTGGGGCCTGGGGGGGTGTGGGGAACAGCCCATGGGGCAGGATTGAAGATTTGGGGGGTCATCGGGAACCCCCACACACACCTCACCCCCATTTCTCTGTGCCCCCCCCCTGCAGGATGAAGGAACTCAAGCAAAGCAAAGAGGTGGAAAGTTTACAGAAGCGAGGTCTGGCCACTTAGCGCCTCCCCCTGCGGCCTGCCAAAGCCCGGGGCAGCCACGCCGGGAACCCAGGCATCCGGGGCCGGCCGCCCCCACCTTCGCTCCCCTTCTGAAACTGTGACGACAGAGTCTTAACCCCCCGGTGGCGACGGATCGCGGCCTCACCTGGGGGGGTGTCCCGGCCCCCCCGTCTTAACGATTGTGCAATAGAGCCTGGCTGGAGGGGAGCTGATTGGGAGGCCAGGGGGTGATGGGAGCCCCTGGCTCGCTACACACACCAAGGGGGGGGTCCCCTGAGTTGGCCTGAAGGGGACAGTGCAGCCATGCTGGGGGTGGGGGGGGCATCTCTTCAGAACTGAGGTACCATCCATTGTACCCCCCATATCCTCCCCTACCCCCTTAATGTCACCAGATCTTTGTGCCAAGTTACCCCCGCCCAGGCTGGGAGCCAGGACGCCTGGGTTCTCTCCCTGGCTCTGTGGAGGGGAGCGGGGTCTGGTGGGTTAGAGCAGGGCGGGGCTGGGAGCCAGGACGCCTGGGTTCTCTCCCTGGCTCTGGGCGAGGGGTCTGGTGCGTTGTCTTAAGTGGGTGATGCCATACCCACCCCCCTCAGTACTTAAAGGGCCCTGTTTGCATTTCAGCCCCCTGTAACGGGCCCATCTCTCCCCCCAGCTGTCTTCTCCCCCCCCCGACCCCGCATCCCATGGGGCATTGCAGCCCCTAGGCTCTGGGTCCCCCCCCACACACCTGCCCTCAGCAGGCCCTCTGGCTAGTCTCCCTGGGCCCCTGGCCCCCTCCCCCCGTCGCGGCCTGGGGGAGCGTGGGTCGGTCATTTCCCCCGCCGTGGGGCAACTGTGTCTATATTAGAGATCTGCTGTTGGGCCGGGGGGGGGGGTTGTCGAGAGGAACCTGCTGCCCCCCCCGCCCCCATGCTCCCAGCTTGCTGTATAAAGCCTGGGTGTCCCCCGGGTGCCCCCCCACACACACACACACCCCCAGCACCCCCACACACACCTCGTGTACATAGTTGTAATATATTGGGGGGAGGAACCCTCAGCCTAAAATTATACTGAAGGATATATTTAAAAACAAATCTTAAAGCCGCTCCGGCTCCCTGGGGGGGGGCGGGGGGGAAGAGATGCATGCTGGTAAACGTTAAAACCACACCTGCCACCCCCCCCCCGTGGTGTTCGCCGCTCCCCAAAATCTGTCCCCCACGTTTCTACCTTTTGCATGGGTTTGTTTGTACAAATTTACATTAAAAAGGAAAAAAAAAAACCCTGAAGTCGCTGAGATGTGGTCTTGGGGGGGGGGGAGGCGGGTGGGCTGGGGGGGCTCATCCCCAGGGAGGGGGCGCTCCGGGCACGAGGGGTTTCTCCCCCCCCCACACACACACCCCAGGGTGAGGGGATGCGACGCGCCCCCCCCCCCCCCGGGCCTGCGGAACCGGCTTCCCCTGGACGGCGCCGTTACCCTGCGGGACTCCTCGCCGCAGGACGGGTGGGGGGGCCGCTGGAATGAGCGGGGGCGGGTTCCCCCCCCCCCCCCCTCAACAGGGCCGGCCCCGGTGGGAGGGGGGCGTCTAGTCCCCGCCCCTGAGAATTGGGGGCGGTGTCGATGGGGGGAGGGGGGGGTCCTGAACTTGGGGACCCAGGCATCCGGGAAGGGGGAGGGGCTGCGTCTTTCCACCCTCTTCCTCCCCCCCCCCCGCGTGTGCTGTGGGGGTGCGCGGCCCTGCGCCTCCCCTTTAATCCCCCCGCCCATTCTCTGTCCGCCGACGCGGCCCTGCGCCTCCCCTTTAATCCCCCGCCCATTCTCTGTCCGCCGACGCGGCCCTGCGCCTCCCCTTTAATCCCCGCCCATTCTCTGTCCGCCGACGCGGCCCTGCGCCTCCCCTTTAATCCCCGCCCATTCTCTGTCCGCCGACGCGGCCCTGCGCCTCCCCTTTAATCCCCGCCCATTCTCTGTCCGCCGACGCGGCCCTGCGCCTCCCCTTTAAGGCTCCGCCGGCGGGGCGCGCGCGCGGTGACGGTGGCGGTGACGCGCCGTGACGCGGCGGAAGGGGCGGGGCGCGGCGCGATGGCGGAGCTGGACCTGCTGGGCTCCATCCTCAGCGCCATGGAGCGGCCGCCCGGGCTCGGCGACCAGGAGACGCGGCGCCGCGCGCGAGGTCAGGGGGCGCGGGGGGGGCGGGGCCGGGGCCGGGGGGGGGAGCGGGAGCCCACAACGCCCCGCCCCCCCGCGCGCCCCTTGGCCCCGCCCCCCGGGACAGGGCCCCGCCCTGGAGCCCCGCCCCCGGCACTAAGCCCCGCCCCCCGGGGACAGAGCCCCGCCCCCGGCACTAAGCCCCGCCCCCCGGGACAGAGCCCCGCCCTGGCCCCCAGCCCCCCCTAGCCCCCCGCACTGCCCCGCCCCCGGGGACAGAGCCCCGCCCTGGAGCCCCGCCCCCGGCACTAAGCCCCGCCCCCCGGGACAGGCCCCGCCCTGGCCCCCCCCCGGGACAGGGCCCCCCTGGAGCCCCGCCCCCGGCACTAAGCCCCGCCCCCCGGGGACAGAGCCCCGCCCCCGGCACTAAGCCCCGCCCCCCGGGACAGAGCCCCGTCCCCTGAGACTGGGCCCCGCCCTGGAGCCCCCCGCGCGCCCCTTGGCCCCGCCTCCACGGGACAGAGCCCCGCCCTGGAGCCCCGTGGCCCCGCCCCTAGCCTCTGAACTCCCCCCCCCGCCCCGCAGCCCAGTACCCCATGGCCCTGCCCCCGCCCCCGGGGAGCTCTTTCCCTCACCCCCCACCCCGTAACCACATGGCCCTGACCCAGGGGGAGGGGCGCTGTAGAGACCGGGCTATAACTAGACGCGGGGGTGAGGGAGGGGCGCTGTACAGACCGGGCTATAACTAGACGCGGGGGTGAGGGAGGGGCGCTGTACAGACCGGGCTATAACTAGACGCGGGGGTGAGGGAGGGGCGCTGTACAGACCGGGCTATAACTAGACGCGGGGGTGAGGGGGAGGGGCGCTGTAGAGACCGGGCTATAACTAGACGCGGGGGTGAGGGAGGGGCGCTGTACAGACCGGGCTATAACTAGACGCGGGGGTGAGGGAGGGGCGCTGTAGAGACCGGGATATAACTAGACGCGGGGGTGAGGGAGGGGCGCTGTAGAGACCGGGCTATAACTAGACGCGGGGGTGAGGGAGGGGCGCTGTACAGACCGGGCTATAACTAGACGCGGGGGTGAGGGAGGGGCGCTGTAGAGACCGGGCTATAACTAGACAGCGGGGGTGAGGGGAGGGGCCTGTACAGACCGGGCTATAACTAGACGGGGGGTGAGGGAGGGGCGCTGTACAGACCGGCTATAACTAGAGGAGAAATAGGGAAAAGGGAGGAGGAAGAAATAACGGGGAGGGTGGTGGGGGGGGCGGGGGGCATAACTAGACGCGGGGGTGAGGGAGGGGCGCTGTAGAGACCGGGCTATAACTAGACGCGGGGGTGAGGGAGGGGCGCTGTACAGACCGGGCTATAACTAGACGCGGGGGTGAGGGAGGGGCGCTGTACAGACCGGGCTATAACTAGACGCGGGGTGAGGGAGGGGCGCTGTAGAGACCGGGTATAACTAGACGCGGGGTGAGGGAGGGGCGCTGTAGAGACCGGGTATAACTGAGACGCGGGGGGTGAGGGAGGGGTGTACAGACCGGGCTATAACTAGACGCGGGGGTGAGGGAGGGGCGCTGTAGAGACCGGGCTATAACTAGACGCGGGGTGAGGGAGGGCGCTGTAGAGACCGGGCTATAACTAGACGCGGGGGTGAGGGAGGGGCGCTGTAGAGACCGGGCTATAACTAGACGCGGGGGTGAGGGAGGGGCGCTGTAGAGACCGGGCTATAACTAGACGGGGGTGAGGGAGGGGCGCTGTACAGACCGGGCTATAACTAGACGCGGGGGTGAGGGAGGGGCGCTGTAGAGACCGGGATATAACTAGACGCGGGGGTGAGGGAGGGGCGCTGTAGAGACCGGGCTATAACTAGACGCGGGGGTGAGGGAGGGGCGCTGTACAGACCGGGCTATAACTAGACGCGGGGGTGAGGGAGGGGCGCTGTACAGACCGGGCTATAACTAGACGCGGGGGTGAGGGAGGGGCGCTGTAGAGACCGGGCTATAACTAGACGCGGGGGTGAGGGAGGGGCGCTGTAGAGACCGGGCTATAACTAGACGCGGGGGTGAGGGAGGGGCGCTGTACAGACCGGGCTATAACTAGACGCGGGGGTGAGGGAGGGGCGCTGTACAGACCGGGCTATAACTAGACGCTGAGGGAGGGCCTGTAGAGACCGGGCTATAACTAGACGGGGGTGAGGGAGGCTGTAGAGGGGGGGGGAGTTTTGGGGAGGCATAACTAGACGCGGGGTGAGGGAGGGGCGCTGTAGAGACCGGGCTATAACTAGACGCGGGGTGAGGGAGGGGCGCTGTACAGACCGGGCTATAACTAGACGCGGGGTGAGGGAGGGGCGCTGTAGACCGGGCTATAACTAGACGCGGGGGTGAGGGAGGGGCGCTGTAGAGACCGGGCTATAACTAGACGCGGGGGTGAGGGAGGGGCGCTGTAGAGACCGGGCTATAACTAGACGCGGGGTGAGGGAGGGGCGCTGTACAGACCGGGCTATAACTAGACGCGGGGGTGAGGGAGGGGCGCTGTAGAGACCGGGCTATAACTAGACGCGGGGGTGAGGGAGGGGCGCTGGGACCGGGTATAACTAGACGGGGGGTGGGGGGGGGCTGTACAGACCGGGCTATAACTAGACGCGGGGGTGAGGGAGGGCGCTGTACAGACCGGGTATAACTAGACGGGGGGGGGTGGGGGGGGGTGTGGGGGGGTGAGGGAGGGGGCTGTAGAGGGTTGGGACGGGTAAACTAGACGCGGGGTGAGGGAGGGGCGCTGTAGAGACCGGGATATAACTAGACGGGGGGGGAGGGAGGGGCGCTGTACAGACCGGGCTATAACTAGACGCGGGGGTGAGGGAGGGGCGCTGTACAGACCGGGCTATAACTAGATGCGGGGGTGAGGGAGGGGCGCTGTACAGACCGGGCTATAACTAGACGCGGGGGTGAGGGAGGGGCGCTGTACAGACCGGGCTATAACTAGACGCGGGGGTGAGGGAGGGGCGCTGTAGAGACCGGGCTATAACTAGACGCGGGGGTGAGGGA